CGCGGTGGCGACATCGGCATAGCGAGAATCGATCGAAGATGACAGTGGTGCGGATGACAAATGAGAAGCCTCGAGTGCTGGTGAGGTGAGGTCATAGTTAGGAGATGGAAGGAGAGGCTGGGCTGAGTGGGCAGAATATGCCAGAGGTGGGAGGGCTGTGTGTGCAGCTGCCTTATTGGTTGAGCTTGATGCGTGGGAGCGGAAGGGCGGCTGTGGTGGCTGTTGGGGCTGGTACGGCTGCGAATGTGGCTGGTAGGTAGACTGCGGTATGTATGGCGACTGTTGCTGTTGCTGTTGTAGCTGCCTTCGCTTCTTCTTCTCAAGCTGAGGGCAATTGGTGATGGCGTGACCAGCAGCCTTGCAATAGCGACAAGAAATGGTAGAGGCGCTTGAATGCGGCTTGGAGGGTCCAGATTGAACGACATAAGCACCATCAGCTGGTAGCGACGAATTCTTGGCTGCACGGTCCCACTCAGCATCCACAAGACGTCCCTCAAGCCACTCAAGGGTCATGTCCTTTATTTCTTTCACCAAGCAGAGCGTTTCAGTAAGTGTGTCGTAGGACCGAGGAAGACCCAAAAGGATAGACGTGATGGTCACCCACGAGGGTAGACTGTAGCCGCTGGTCTGCAGTTGCAGGTCAAGACCACGAACATGGTCAAAGTAGGCACGGACAGACTGGCCAGGGTCCATGCGAACGGAGAACAGTTGCCGTAACAGTCCAAATTGGGCTTGATTGCCGGTGCTGGCAAATTTCTTGTTGAGAAGAGCCCATAAACCGGCAGCAGTCTCGGTTGGAGAGATGGACATTGAGAGCTGGGCGGGAAGTGTGGAGAGAAGGTACAGCAAGGCGCGTTGCTCTTGTTCGGTGGCTGCAAGTGGAGCGGTAGCAGGCTGACGACGCGTGTCCGATGGAGCCGTCGGCGCAGGATCTGCCGTCGAAGCGGGAGGACTGGTAGAGGAAGATGCAGATGAGGAAGGGAGCGCGGAGTCACCAAGTGCGCCGACAATGCCCACGAGTTGGAAGGTGAGGACCACCATCCGCTTCCAATGGTTGAAGTTGGAGCCATCGGGGAGGAGGGAGGGCAAAGTGAGCCTCCCCAAATGACTATCCACTATAGCCATGGTGAAGACAAATAGAAAAAAAAAAATTACTGAGGATGGCTAAGCATTGAAAACGAAATTCAGCCAATGCTCCATAGAGTTGGAGGAAGACCAGCAATGCTTGAAAAGGTCTTTCGTAGTAAGGCTGACCAACGGAGGCTCAGCTATAGCTCTGAAACCATGTAGAAAAACAGACCTAATGTGCACAATGTGCACAAGGAGAGGCTGGTTCTGAAATGCTGAAAGGTTCTAGAAGCAGTAAATCAACTGAAGTAATGAATACAAGCAAAACAAAGGCTAAAATAGGCAGAAAATGAAGAGAGCTAGCTTGGAGGCGACTTGGGCTGGTCCAGGTGAGGAATTTGGTACCCAAGGGACTTGGGGTGGCCAAATGGGTGCTCAAGTCGCCCACAGTCAAGATGGGGACGTGAGGGACCCTCAAAGTGGGCCTGGAAGCGCCCCCTACAGTGGAACCGCGATTCCACGAATTGGAAACGCGAATTCCAAGTTGGAGCCGCGTTTCCAATGTTGAAATTCGTGGGTCCAGGCTGGAGCCGCGTCCCCAAGATTGGGAAACGTGCTGAGGTGCCCCAAAGCCGAATTTGGGGTGCCTAGCACTTGATAAAGTCACTCAGGGGGCACCCTATAACTAATATAACCCAACCCCTATTGTCTACACTATTATAATGTAAACAAATACGTACAAACTTTAAATAAACTAGTGAACAAAACCTGCAGCAAATTTAAAGGAAAATAAGTACCCAACAACAATCAGCAGCATCAGCATCAGCATCAGCAGCAGCATCAGCATCTGCATCAGCATCAGCATCAGCATCAGCATCAGCATCAGCATAAGCATCAGCATCAGCATCAGCATCAGCATCAGCATCAGCATAAGCATCAGCATAAGCATAAGCATCAGCATCAGCATCAGCATCAGCATAAGCATCAGCATCAGCATAAGCATCAGCATCAGCATAAGCATCAGCATAAGCATCAGCATAAGCATCAGCATCAGCATAAGCATCAGCATAAGCATCAGCATCAGCATCAGCATCAGCATCAGCATAAGCATCAGCATCAGCATCAGCATAAGCATCAGCATAAGCATCAGCATCAGCATCAGCATCAGCATCAGCATCAGCATAAGCATCAGCATAAGCATCAGCATCAGCATCAGCATCAGCATCAGCATCAGCATAAGCATCAGCATAAGCATCAGCATCAGCATCAGCATCAGCATCAGCATAAGCATCAGCATCAGCATCAGCATCAGCATAAGCATAAGCATCAGCATCAGCATCAGCATAAGCATCAGCATAAGCATCAGCATCAGCATCAGCATCAGCATCAGCATAAGCATAAGCATAAGCATAAGCATCAGCATCAGCATCAGCATCAGCATCAGCATCAGCATAAGCATCAGCATCAGCATCAGCATCAGCATCAGCATAAGCATCAGCATCAGCATCAGCATCAGCATCAGCATAAGCATCAGCATCAGCATCAGCATAAGCATCAGCATAAGCATCAGCATCAGCATCAGCATCAGCATAAGCATCAGCATCAGCATCAGCATCAGCATAAGCATCAGCATCAGCATCAGCATCAGCATCAGCATCAGCATCAGCATCAGCATCAGCATAAGCATCAGCATCAGCATCAGCATCAGCATAAGCATCAGCATCAGCATCAGCATCAGCATAAGCATCAGCATAAGCATCAGCATAAGCATCAGCATCAGCATCAGCATCAGCATAAGCATCAGCATAAGCATCAGCATCAGCATCAGCATCAGCATCAGCATAAGCATCAGCATCAGCATCAGCATCAGCATCAGCATCAGAATCAGCATCAGAATCAGCATCAGCATCAGCATCAGCATCAGCATCAGCATAAGCATCAGCATCAGCATCAGCATCAGCATCAGCATAAGCATCAGCAAGAGCATAAGAATCAGCATCAGCATCAGCATCAGCATCAGCATAAGCATCAGCATCAGCATCAGCATCAGCATCAGCATCAGCATCAGCATAAGCATCAGCATCAGCATCAGCATCAACATCAGCATCAGCATCAGCATCAGCATAAGCATCAGCATCAGCATCAGCATCAGCATCAGCATAAGCATCAGCATCAGCATCAGCATCAGCATCAGCATCAGCATAAGCATCAGCATCAGCATCAGCATCAGCAGCAGCATCAGCATCAGCATCAGCATAAGCATCAGCATCAGCATAAGCATCAGCATCAGCATAAGCATCAGCATCAGCATCAGCATAAGCATCAGCATCAGCATCAGCATCAACATCAGCATCAGCATCAGCATCAGCATCAGCATCAGCATCAGCATAAGCATCAGCATCAGCATCAGCATCAGCATCAGCATCAGCATCAGCATCAGCATCAGCATCAGCATCAGCATCAGCATAAGCATCAGCATCAGCATCAGCATCAGCATCAGCATAAGCATCAGCATCAGCATAAGCATCAGCATCAGCATAAGCATCAGCATCAGCATCAGCATCAGCATGAGCATCAGCATCAGCATGAGCATCAGCATCAGCATCAGCATCAGCATCAGCATCAGCATCAGCATCAGCATCAGCATCAGGATCAGCATCAGCATCAGCATCAGCATCAGCATAAGCATAAGCATCAGCATCAGCATCAGCATAAGCATCAGCATCAGCATCAGCATCAGCATCAACATCAGCATCAGCATCAGCATCAGCATAAGCATCAGCATCAGCATCAGCATAAGCATCAGCATCAGCATCAGCATCAGCATCAGCATCAGCATCAACATCAGCATCAGCATCAGCATCAGCATAAGCATCAGCATCAGCATCAGCATAAGCATCAGCATCAGCATCAGCATAAGCATCAGCATCAGCATCAGCATAAGCATCAGCATCAGCATCAGCATCAGCATCAGCATCAGCATCAGCATAAGCATCAGCATCAGCATCAGCATCAGCATCAGCATCAGCATCAGCATAAGCATCAGCATCAGCATAAGCATCAGCATCAGCATAAGCATCAGCATCAGCATCAGCATAAGCATCAGCATCAGCATCAGCATCAGCATAAGCATAAGCATCAGCATCAGCATCAGCATCAGCATCAGCATCAGCATAAGCATCAGCATAAGCATCAGCATCAGCATCAGCATCAGCATCAGCATCAGCATCAGCATCAGCATCGGCATCAGCATCAGCATCAGCATCAGCATCAGCATCAGCATCAGCATAAGCATCAGCATCAGCATAAGCATCAGCATCAGCATAAGCATCAGCATCAGCATCAGCATAAGCATCAGCATCAGCATCAGCATCAGCATCAGCATCAGCATAAGCATCAGCATCAGCATCAGCATCAGCATCAGCATCAGCATCAGCATCAGCATAAGCATCAGCATCAGCATCAGCATCAGCATCAGCATAAGCATCAGCATCAGCATCAGCATCAGCATAAGCATCAGCATAAGCATCAGCATAAGCATCAGCATCAGCATCAGCATCAGCATCAGCATCAGCATAAGCATCAGCATCAGCATAAGCATCAGCATCAGCATAAGCATCAGCATCAGCATCAGCATCAGCATAAGCATCAGCATCAGCATCAGCATCAACATCAGCATCAGCATCAGCATCAGCATCAGCATCAGCATCAGCATCAGCGTATCAGCATCAGCATCAGCATCAGCATCAGCATAAGCATCAGCATCAGCATCAGCACCAGCATCAGCATCAGCATCAGCATCAGCATCAGCATCAGCATCAGCATCAGCATCAGCATCAGCATAAGCATAAGCATCAGCATCAGGGTACCAGCTGATGGCCATGGGGGGGAGGGGAAAGCGGAGTAGTGGGGGGGTGGGGGGTGAGTCATCTTTAAAGTTGGTCTCTACCCAAGGTCATCAGCCGCAGGGCATATGCACTGCCCTCAACGCCCGGCACCTCGTTTGAGTCCAAGTCCATGGTGGCGACGAGCAGCGAGGGGCGGTCACTGGGATGCAAGGGGGCACCGACCTTGATATGGGTGATAGCAATGCAGGGAGGAGGGAAGCAGAGACACACTGACCTCAAGGCCTAGCACCTCGTTAGAGGCATAGTCCATGGTGGTGAAGAGCAGCGCGGGGGCATAGAGTAGCAAGGGTGCATTGACCTGGATGGAGCACTCAGCGCTGACGCACTGAGCAGAGAGGCGCACACGCACTGACCTCCGGGCCAAGCACGAGGGCAACTGACCTCGAGCCCCGGCACCTCGTTGGATGCATAGTCCACGGCAGCGAAGAGCAGCGAGGGGCGCACTGACCTTGATATGGCGGCTGGCAGTGCATGGAGAGGCATTGACCTCACGCACTGACCTGGATGCACACTGACCTCTGATGCACGGAGCTATCAGGGGCACACGCACTGACCTCTGATGCACGGAGCTATCAGGGGCACACGCACTGACCTCTGATGCACGGAGCTATCAGGGGCACACGCACTGACCTCGAGCCCCGGCACCTCGTTGGAGGCATAGTCCATGGCAGCGAAGAGCAGCGCGGGTCGCACACTGACCTTGATATGGCGGCGGTAAATGCAGGAAGCCGGCGAGGAGGGGCACTGACCTCAAGGCCTGACACCTCATTGGAGGCATAGTCCATGGCAGCGAAGAGCAGTGAGGGGCGGTCGCTGAGGCGCTCCGCCAGACGTGTGAAGTGCGGCAGCAGGTCGTCACAGGATGGGCACTCGTCCGAAAAGCTCAGCTGCCATGGCAAGGGCGAGGGAGGTGGGGTGGAGTTGGGGATTGGGAGGGGGGGGGATGCGAGACGTGTGGCAGCAGTTAGTCACATGATAGACACTCGTCCGCAAAACTCAGCTGCCCATGCATGTAGGCCAAAGAGGCGGATTGGGAAGGTGTGGGGGTTGCGAGCTTTTTGAGGTTTTGCACGCATGCAAGCTCTTAAGGGTAATGGTAACGGTAATGGTAGTGGTAATGGTAATGGTAGTGGTAATGGTAGTGGTAATGGTAATGATAATGGTAATGGTAGTGGTAATGGTAGTGGTAATGGTAGTGGTAGTGGTAGTGATAATGATAATAGGTAATGGTAATGGTAGTGGTAATGGTAGTGGTAATGGTAATGATAATGGTAATGGTAATGGTAGTGGTAATGATAATGGTAATGGTAATGATAATGGTAATGGTAGTGGTAGTGGAATAATAATGATAATGGTAGCGGTAGTGGTAATGGTAATGGTGATGATAATGATAATGGTAATGGTAATGGTAGTGGTAATGGTAGTGGTAATGGTAATGGTAATGATAATGGTAATGGTAATGGTAGTGGTAATGGTAGTGGTAATGGTAATGATAATGGTAATGGTAGTGGTAATGGAAGTAGTAATGGTAATGATAATAGTAATGGTAATGGTAATGGTAGAGGTAATGATAATGGTAATGGTAATGATAATGGTAATGGTAGTGGTAATGGTAATGATAATGGTAATAGTAATGGTAATGGTAATAGTAATGGTAATGGTAATGGTAATGGTAATGGTAATGGTAGTGGTAGTGGTAGTGGTAGTGGTAATGGTAATGGTAATGGTAATGTTAATGGTAATGGTAATGGTAATGGTAATGGTCGTAGTAATGGTAATGGTAATCTGTACACCCTTTGCTTTGTCCGCTCACGTACACATACATGGCACAGCATGGCATGGCATGGCACCATTTCAATCATTCTCGCTTTAAGAGCAATCCCTTGGCAACCCCACCCGTCCATCGCCCAGCACAACCATCACCCACCCACTATCACCATCCCTCACCCATTGCCACAACCACCTCCATCGCAAGCTCGATTAGTGCATGCTGCCTACCACTGTCGAGTCACTGCAAAGGTCACCTCCCACGCACCACCACCACTCACCCAGGACCACCACACCGCATCCAGCAGCACCACCTCGCACCCACCATGAGCATGACGTCCTTGGAATCATCCATCACAATCTCCTTGAACGTGCTGCCCACCACTGTGCGCACCACCCCATCGTTCTGCCCCGCGAGAGCAAGGTGGCGGGGTAGAGGGTGTGGGGAGGAAGGTGGGAGGGCGGGCGCACATGTATACAGGGAAGGGAGGAGTGGAAGCGGGTGAATTGGTGAGCACAAATGCATGACCATGATAACTTGCCATGCATCATGGCCACTCCATGACACGTGACCAGACCAAATGTACTCGGACAGCAGGGCGCCCACCGAGAAGGTTGTCTTGGAATGTGAAATGTGGATTGTCAATCAGCGTTCACCACACACCTCTGCCCCACGGGCACGCACCTCCTCAGGGACAGGGTCGTGCTTGTGCTAGGGCGGCAGTTCACCTGCCAAGTAGGAACCTTGACAACTCGCAAACAGCATTCACCATTCACCACGCACAGCACTCACCTTCCCTGCCACACTCACCTGCCCCATGGGCCATGGGCCACGCACCTGGTCCGGGACAGGGTCGGACTTGTAGTAGGGCGGCAGTTCACCTGCCAAGAAGGCTGTTATGAACTCCTGGTTAGGCGAGAGCACATGGCACGGTGGGAGAGAGGAAGGAGAGAAGGGAGAAAGGGGACGAGTGGGTAGCGTTTCAAGGAGGCACTTGGCAGGGCATGGCATGGCAGTGCATGTGGTTGGGAGCAAGGAGGCTGTGCATCGTGGTGTCGTGGTGCTCTCCCTCCTCCGTGTATGAGAGCACAGCCAGCACTGCTGTCATGTGAAAATTCTCACAAGTGAATGGCTGGCATGCACACAAGCAAGCGGACGCACCCGCACGTTAGAAAGAGTAGGTTCCCCTGCCAGGCGGTGCTTGGACTCATGGTGCTCCCCATTTTCAGTGTATGACAGCACCGCCAGCACGGCCATCTCGCCCTCGTGGATGCCAAAGTAGTCCATTGGCTGGCCTGACATCTCCTCATCGCTTGAATCCACCATCATGAAGAACACCTGGGAGGTGCAGGCAGGGCGTGTGTGCAGCACGTGCATGTGAAGAGGGGGAGGTGGCATCCATTGGAAAGAGCACAGCCAGCACGGCAGTATCGCCCTCGTATATGCCAGAGTAGTCCATGGGCTGCCCTGACGCGTCCTCGTCGCAGGAATCCACCATCATGAAGAACACCTGGGGGGGTTGGGTAGGATATGTGTGCAGTAAGGGAGGGGTTTAGGTTGAAGTGAGATGCTGTGCATGGGAAAGAGCAGAGCAGTCCATGGGGTGCCCTGATGTGTCCTCATCGCTTGAGTCCACCATCATGAAGAACACCAGGGGGGATGGGAGGGTTGAATGCAGGGCAGGCAGGGCAGCAAGCAGGGTATGCAGGCAGGGAGGGGAGTGAGATGCCGTGCTTGGGGGGAACAGAGTAGTCCACGGGCTGCCCTGGCCTGGCGTGCCGTTCATTACCAGAGTCCACCAGCGTTAAGAACACCTGGGGTTTGCACGCAGAGCATGCATGTCGGCAACAGATGAGCTGTGGTGCACATGGCATGGAGCACATGCTTACCCTTCATGCCACTCTGTGCATCCCCACCTGTGCCCACGTGCTCACCTTGCCCACGTGCTCACCTTGCCCACGTGCTCACCTTGCCCACGTGCTGCCTGGCCAGGGGAGTGAGCGATTCCTCAAAGTGAGAGAAGTCGGTGCGCGGGCAGAAGATCACGATCTGTGACAGGGGGAAGGGAGGCATGGGCGGAGGGGAGGCATGGGCGGAGGGGAGGCATGGGCGGATGAAAGGTGTGATTGGATAAGCCATTAGAAAAGGTAGGCATGGGAAGAATGGGCAACATGGCAAATCATCCAGCCGCTTTTGTGAGTGATTATCCTTCTCTGCTCACACGCCCTGTGCGCCGCACCACTCCCTCACAATCTCTGTTCGCCCCCATCAACTGCCACCCATAGCTCACGTGCCACTTGGTGTCTTCCCTGGACTGCTCTGCTGCAGCAACGCCCATGTGCACAAGGGCACCGGTGCTGCAGCAACGCCCATGTGCACAAGGGCACCGTGCCCTGTGCGGCCTTCCCCCAACTCCTAACCCACCACTCACATGCCACTTGGTGCCTTTGCCGAATTCTTTAGCAGCAGCATCGCCCATGTGAACAAAGAGCAGCAGCTGTTGCCGTGCACAAGCCCTCCCCCCCCCCCCCTCTCCCCAAACCACCCCATAACTCACGTGCCACTTGGTGTTTTTGCCGAACTGCTCAGCAGCAGCATCGCCCATGTGCACAAAGAGAGGCAGCCTGTTGCCATGCACAAACTCTGCAATCGCCTTGCGCGTCAGTGGGCCCTCTGTGGGAGGGGATTGACAGGGGTGGGACCATGGGTCAGCAGGTTGGCAAGCAATGGCAGGGACGGGCGGGAATAGGGGATGGAGAGGCAAGCAGCTGGAATGAGGGGAAGAAAGAAGAGAATGAAGAGAGGAAGAGAGGTCTGGGCCAGAATGCGAGGGATTGGTGACAGAAACGAGTTGGGATGCAGGGGCATGAGGGGTGTGGGGGGACGCTGGGGCGTGTGGGGGTGTGAGGGGATGCAGGGGCGCGTGTGTGGTAGGCCAAGCAGCGCACGGAATGGGAGGAAGGTGTCGGTTCTGCTCTTGAGCACGGCCACCACGCCCCCCTCCGTGCCTGCACTCGCCAGGGCGACAGAGCGTCCCCTTGCCAGCCCAGCGGAGTGGAAATGGGGTGTGAGAGACTCACCAAAAAGCAGGAAGGTATCGTTTCTGCTCTTTAGCACTGCCACCACTCCCCCCTCCGCGCCTGCACGCGCCAGGGCAGCAGCAGCGTCGCCCTGCCAGCCCAGCGCAGCCGCCACTGCAGCGTGCGTGGTGAGCGCGAACCGCACGCCCTCCACGTCCTTGGACGCACCTCTGAACTCCGCCGCTGCCGCGCTCTGGCAGTGCGGGGAGAGAGAGGCGCCAAGGGAATGACGGTGCTTTATGAGCGTCACCCTGCCAGCCCAGTGCGATAGCCACTGCAGCGTGCGTGGTGAGCGCGAACCGCACGCCCTCCACGTCCTTGGATGCGCCGCTTAACTCCGCTGCTGCTGTGCCCTGGCAGTGGGGGGAGAAGGGGGGACGGGAAGGGAGGGAGGACGGTGAATTCAAGGGTCGACTTGGGTTCCCTTGGTTTCACCTGCATCTCATGCTCACCTGCATCTCATGCTCGCCTGCATCTCATGCTCACCTGCAACTCATGCTCACCTGCATCTCATGCTCGCCTGCATCTCATGCTCACCTGCATCTCATGCTCGCCTGCATCTCATGCTCGCCTGCATCTCATGCTCGCCTGCATCTCATGCTCACCTGCATCTCATGCTCGCCTGCATCTCATGCTCGCCTGCAACTCATGCTCACCTGCATCTCATGCTCGCCTGCATCTCATGCTCGCCTGCATCTCATGCTCACCTGCATCTCATGCTCGCCTGCATCTCATGCTCGCCTGCATCTCATGCTCGCCTGCATCTCATGCTCGCCTGCATCTCATGCTCGCCTGCATCTCATGCTCGCCTGCATCTCATGCTCACCTGCATCTCATGCTCGCCTGCATCTCATGCTCACCTGCATCTCATGCTCGCCTGCATCTCATGCTCACCTGCATCTCATGCTCGCCTGCATCTCATGCTCGCCTGCATCTCATGCTCTCCCGCATCTCATGCTCGCCTGCATCTCATGCTCTCCCGCATCTCATGCTCTCCCGCATCTCATGCTCACCTGAGTGTCATGCACGAGGGCGAGGGCGAGCGCAGTGACGGAGTCGGCGAGCAGCGAGACGAGAGAGGGCATGTCGGAGGGAGATGGCGGGTCCAGCACGCCCACGCTGCGCCCGCTCTTCCGCTGCACCCATGCCACCACGTCCTCGCTGCAGGGGGGATGGGCGGATGGCGGGGAGAGGACGCGCTAGGAGAGTAAGCAGTGCAACGTGTGTGAATTTCCTCTCCATAAGAACGAAGGGCGGGAGCAGTGCCATCGGGGAACACACTCTTATGGCATTTCAGACGACTCGGAATGGCTTTTGAGTGGACTCAACTGTCTTTCAATCAACTCGATTGTCATCCCGCTCACCTGTGGAACTCGTCGCACGGCTGCAGGCGCCCCTTCTCCGCCCACACGAACAGCGGCGGCTCACCGTCGTCCCCAGCCCCCTCTGCAACGGCCTTCTCAAGCACCCCCGCGTGCTGCACCGCGTCCACCTTGCCCACCAACACCCCCCCGCCCGCCTCCTTCAGGGCCGCCGCCGCCTCGCGCAGCTGCGGGGAAGGATTTGGAAGACGGAGCGGCGGGAATGGGGGATTGGGGGGATGGGCGGAATGCGGAAATCAGGCGGAGAATGTGTGTGGGCGTTGCGACGTGGACAGGCAGGGGGCAATGTGGAACCGTTTCGCTGCCACGCGCGTAATTCGAACAACCATCAGGCTCACCGCGCACTTGGCGGTAAGGCACCGCGGCTGCAATGCGCGTTCAACCTCGTGCCGCGTCGCTGCTCGTGCTGAGTACCCCTGTGTCGACTCAAAAATCGCCGTGCTGATGGCTCACCTGGACCATGTAGTTCTTGCATCGCGGGCACGAGCTGTTGTACAGCAACGCGAGAACGTACTCGTGCTGCCTGAGTGCCTCGTTAAACGACGCTTCGCTCAAATTCACAATGTCGCCGTCATCGCCGTCCGGAATGTCGGGTAACTTAGGAATGTGGTCATCCCTCGCCTGGTCCTCTGTGGTGAGAGCTACCGACAACAGCGTGGCGAGAATAAGCAGGGCAAGAAGAGTAGTAGAAGACGACTCTGCCGCCATGCCGGTTGGTACTGGACTTCCACTCGAAAACATGCATGGAAGATGGGTGATGGATACAGACGGAACTGCACATGCGCTTCTGATCATCTGAGATGATTTTGGGTCAAGTGTGCCTGGGAGAAAATAATTGCCTGTCCTCGATGCTGGGTGACGATGTAAGCAATGAGATTGTCAGCTAGATGGCCATAGTTCTTCAATAAACAAACACGAGAATGCGTACTTTGTACTGCCATATTAAACAGAACACATGAATCAATTGAAGAAATAAACCTGCAGCCTAATCATAGATATCCTAGTATAATCTCTCTTCCCTTCTTTACTATGATTGATAATTGATATCACTTTTATGGAATATGTAGTAACATCATTATTGCAGATAAATCATTCATTATTTGATACACACTCAAGTTTGAGAGATCACTGATGAAACTGCATGTGAGGTTCCTATCTTGCAAGTGAACTTCACTGTGTAAGAACAGATAGTTTGCAGGTGCCGTGTACAGCTGTACTGCGATCCGCTAAAACGCAGATCCGTGGAATTCCCCTCTGCTGGCGTTAGCAAGCACCAAGCGATTCAGCTGAGACCTCTTAGGCAACTTCAAGGGATCCTCACAGATTCCAACTTGCTGCTTGCAGTTCCTAGCCTAAAGATACTCCGCTTTCGAACACGGATATCTCGAGAAATAAGTTAATTGCTTCTGGTGCTAGCTTATCGGATTCGTGGCCGCGATACATTGCACTGCTTATTGATAGTGCGTCATCGTCGAAATGGGGGTGAGGATCTTCTTTTTTGTCTGGAAAATGTTGTCGTCGGTATTCGCGCTGACTAATCGCTCTCAATCGTTGCAGATCTCTGTCAAGGTGACTGGAATCACAGAAAAGGCGGCACTTCAAGACATTTACGATTTCTTCTCGTTCTCTGGACCCATTGAAAGCATTAATCTTGAGAAAGAGTATGTGTGACGTCCTGAACTTTCGCTACTGTCAACAGTGACGCGCATCCGTATACTTCTAACAACATATAGCAGAAGATACTTATCATGTTGTGATTGATGTTGGCAGTGCGGAGGGTGACGTACAGACTGCTCACGTAACTTTCTCCGAGCAGAAATCGATGGAGACTGCTCTTCTGCTAACGGTAGGATTCCACATTCTGGGCTTCTTTCGTGGTACACCCACTTTCCGCATTTACTGATCCGTAGTGTGATGATGCGCATTGATAGTGGAAATTGATTCATTGATCCGACTGTCAAATCCATGTGTCAGGGTGCCATGATTTTGGACAAGGTCGTAATCGTGGAGCCAGCAACAGACTACGAACCTCCCAGCACGGCGAAGTTTTATGATACATCCAAGGGAGAAGGAAAGGTAGGCACATAATTCATCTACCTGTATACACTAACACAATGAAGAGCGAGAAATGAGACAGCTGCACATGACCTTCAGTTTGACACGACAGCAAAGCTCACCAACATTTTTGTTCCTGACATTTCAGGCGACTCCGAGCAGCCCAGCGACTAACATTGCCACAGCAGCTCAAGAGATGGTTCGTTCTCTCTTATCTCGGGGATACACCCTCGCTCAAGACGCCATGCAGCGCGCTCGTGACTTTGATGCTAGGCTGGCTATCTCTAGCTCTGCCGCTGCAGGCACTGCTGCCATTCGTGATGGCATCGTCGCCCTGCCATCCACAATCTCTGAAGGAGCCAAAACCGTTGGCACTAACGTCTCAGAAGGAGCCAAGGTGGTGGGCTCTACGATGGCAGAGGGTGCTAAGGCTGTTGGATCAACAGTGTCAGAGGGAGCTAAGGTTGTTGGATCAAGCGTTGCGGCCACTGCTGATACAATCGACAAGAAGTTATTCATCTCACAGAGTTTCAAAGCAGGGACAGGAGCCTTGGCCAAGTCCTTGAGTGTCGTTGATGAGAAGCTGCACCTGTCTGAGACCACTAGAGGGGCGTTTGTGGCTGCGGAGACAAAGCTGAACGAGGCTGGAGAGATTCTGGTGCAGAATAAACTCATTGCTTCTAGCAAGGACTTCGTGATGGGTGTCACTTCCAAGATATCAAATATTGTTGAAGGGGAGGCGAAGCCATCTCTAGATGCTGCTGCGTCCACCGAGGCAAGCACGGATGGCAGCGAAGCAGCCAAGCCAGCTGAGCCTGGAACTGGGGGAGCTACCAAAGACAGTGCAGCCGATGCTCCTACAGTTGCTTCAGCTGCTTCATCTGTTGATGCTGCAGCAGATCAGGCAGCTGGAGCGAGCAAGACAGTGGCCGATGCACCCGCACCAGCTAGTAAGTCAAAGGAAGAAGACACCCCCGTTTTCTGATTGTGCCAGAACCGATGAAGGTATCCTTTCATGATGACCAATTCAGATTCAGGTTATGGAAGAGAAACAGGTTGTGCCATGTACAATAGCAAGGCGTCCCATGAAAATGTTACTGAGTATTAAACAATCACAGTGCACTACAATGCACCCTGCTCTTGGAGTGCTGACAATGATGCATCAAGTTTTTCCGCGATGCTCCCAAGCCACACCTGCAGCCAAAAAGAGGACAGAGAGCACTTCCATTGAATAAGAGGCAAAGTCCAGAAAACATTTGAGAAGCTGACAATTGTGGAAGCAGCTTCAGTGCACACCTGTTGCAGAGGAGTGAATCCTCTGATGGTATCGCTGCCCATAACAATCACCCCGTCTCCATCCCCTAGAGGTTGTACTATAGCAGCCTGTCAACATGTTATTTGCATGGATATCAGCAAAGTATCGATGAGCAAGACATGCAACAAAGGGAGCAGCGACAGCAAGAGCTCACCTGCGTATTGTCTGGCAGGAACTCAAGGAGCTCATATCTTGCTGGAAACAGGAGGAGGCTAGCGAGATAATTTGCTGCTCATGGTGAAAAAAAAAAGGGGTGGGGGGGGGGGGAGGGCGCTGATGTAAAATAATGACAACTTTTTGGAAAGGGGAAAGAACCAATCAAGCATATCACAACGCTTTAGCGTGAACTTACGGCGTCCAGATTTGAGAACCGTGGAACAGATGGAGCCTGAAAGAAGCTTCTCAGCGTCCACTGTGGCAGCAGTAGTGACACCAGGCATGCTGGGTGCTGGAGCCATGCAGCCTGCTTGCAGAATACACTGCCCTTTGAAAATAAGGACTAGGGCTTTGCAGGGAGTGTTGAAACTGAGAGAAGTCCACGCCCTGAGAGGGGAAACATTGGGACAATCAAAATGAGGTAACTGTATCACAACCACTCAAAGATGAGATCATGGAAAACGGTGAAATTGGGAAATCTGTGGAATGCACTTGCAAGCACTAGATCAAGAAACTGGATCACATAGATGAGGGAACGCGCACGTGCCAGTTCAGTTCTTGTTGAACGGGTTGAGGCAGGGATGGGAGTAATCGGTGGCAGGGGACACCATTGAGGACCACCTGAAGACATGCCAGAACGAGAAGCACTGCAGGATAGAATGAATAAAGAGGAGGAAGTAGTAATTCATCAATGCAGGAAAGGCCGCTACTGTTTGCAACAAGCGTAGACTCCTCCCATCACTGGTTCAAGCCTTACAACGCGGGCAGGGTGGGGCCATACCGGGGTCTGTGGTTTGGGCCGCAGCGCCAGCCACGAGAGGCCCGACAACACCATGGAGGCGGCCAGGACCAGGCAGATGACGTCAGCACGTGCCTGCGCGCTGGCAGTGAAACGGCAGGCGAAGGAAGGGGAAAGGATGGATGGCATGTAGTGGGTGGTGACAAGCGTGTGGTAAGGGGAGAGGAGGGGCGCGCGGAGAGGGGAGGGGGGCAAGAGGCTCTGGCAGCCCACAATGCGTTGGATTCCCCATGGAGAAGTGATGTGCAAGATTCCCCTTTCCTGGTGGGGCAACAAGCGCACAGCAGCAGCGGCAACGGAATTCTTTCACCTGCCCGCGTCAGCGACGGCAGGGATGCCCCACACCACGCGGTTCACCAGCACCACCGCTCCGCCCGCCGCGCCCGCTGCGAGCGGCAGCAGCCTGAGCGCGTCCGCATACCGCGCCACCCAGTCATCCGCGCCCCCGGCTGTTTCGGACAGCCCGTTATTAGTCGCGGAGCAGCGCACGCGATTCCCCTGACCACCTCGGCTCACTTGCTGCGTGGACTGATTGCGGGCTTTTGCCAGCTTAAGTTTCCTTAGACAAATTTCTTTCCCGCCATTGACTATTCGAGGAGCGATGGAAACAGCGGACGGACGAAGAAATGCGTGTCTGTGAGTTGAAAATGAGGGCCGAGGCCCGATACTCGTGAATAATGGATGCGTATGAAGATTCATGGTCAGCATGATGTTGAATGATTTGGGGCAAAGGGCAGCCAGGTTATGGCAGCTCAAACATACGTGACTATCAAAACCCGTGATTGGCTTTACAACACTTGACAACATACTCATACTACGTTATGCAGCTACCTTATATCGAGTCAACGGTGACCGAAATTGGGGCTTTTGAGTGCTGTCTGGACGCCACGTCAAATAAGGGCCGTCAACCAATCAAATTGTGCGATCTGACCCTTGAGAAGCCGGGCAGGAAACAATTCCCTAAGAAATGTCAGGGCCTCTTCTGCGAACCCGAAATCTGGTAACCTTTAGCCGTCGCAAATTCTTCTAGAACGTCAAGAATTGCCTCGTCACTCCACGTCCGGCCAATTGTATGCGACCAGCTGCATGCGAAACGACATTGACCGACCTTCTGGACGTCGTCGCTGTGCTTCTGCGATTCGTTCGGATGCCGTCAGTCGCGAGCCTCGCCCCATCCAAATGCAGTGATCCTCCTCCCCACTCCCATGATCTCCCAATTTCCTCTCTCTCCTAATCTGTTACTCAAATTCCTCTCTTTCGGACCCGCATTTTCCAAGTATCTTTGTTCATCCATCTGCTTTCTGAAGGCTAATCGCTCAAATTGCCGGCCTAAGAATGGCTCCGCGGAGCTGCCTTGTGGCGCTCCTCGCTTTCCTCCTTGTATTCCAGACGCTCTCAGGTACTTTCGAGCATAGCGTAAGCTCTTAATTGCACGTATAAGTTTCGTTATCCGCGTTGGAAGCTAAACTCAAATCGCGTTTCCATTTCTCTTCGCAGCTGCGCCGCAAGTGCAGGCGGAGGAGACCAAGGACGTGGGTACCAATGGCGATCTTCCGAAGGTCGAGGAGCCGATTGGAGCCGTTCCTACTGGATCGACCACAGACACCCAAACCCAAGAGAGGTACGCTTGGGCAATCCATAATCATTTCAACAGCCTTTTCGCAATTTAGTTCATCTTTAGCATCTGCATTATTGCTGTGCTGACGCGACGCGTGGTGGCGGTGCGGCAGGGAGAAGAGCTCGATGCGTCGGTCGGGCGAGAAGTTCCAGTTCCAGGCGGAGGTGCACCGGCTGATGGACATTATCATCAACTCGCTCTACAGCAACAAGGACGTCTTCCTCCGCGAGCTCATCTCCAACGCCTCCGACGTCAGTGCCTCTCCTTTTCGTCTCGTTGTTCCTTTTCCAAACTACCAATTTTACCTTGAAACATTCATCAATGAAGCACATAACAAGAACAGGGAAACGTTGACGCTCATTCATGTTTATTCGTTTCTGCTGGTGCCATGTCGCGTGTGTTCAGGCTCTGGATAAGATTCGCTTCCTGTCGCTCACGGACAAGTCCATTCTCGGCGAGGGCGACAACACCAAGCTCGAGATCCAGGTGCGCACTCTTCCCTCTCTCACATGTCTGCTCCTCACTCCCCATCTCCACCCCTTCCACCTGCTGCATGTGCTTAATGTCGCAATATGACTGGACCTCGCTCTCATTTAATTGTTCACGTGGTTGCTAGTCCTCGCACGGTTCCTGATCCTCCGCTGATCACTGCGTTCATCGCGACCGTTGGATGCACGCAGATTAAACTGGACAAGGACAAGAAGATTCTGTCGATCCGCGATCGCGGTATCGGCATGACCAAGGACGATCTCATCAAGAACCTGGGCACCATCGCCAAGTCCGGCACCTCAGGTGAGCCGCGTTACTCCCTCCCACTAACTTTCCTTCCAGATTACTCGCTTGCGAGCCGCGGAATTTGTGCTCGCAATGTGGTCTCGCGATGACAGTGGAATGTATCAAATCAAGTGTGGACCTTTAGGCATGAATGGATGCATAATATACATCTTTCCCTCAACTTCGAACCGTCTTCTCTCTTCCTTGTGCATCGGCGCGCAGCGTTCCTGGAGCGCATGCAGAAGAGCGGCGACATCAACCTGATTGGTCAGTTCGGCGTGGGGTTCTACTCCGTGTACCTGGTGGGCGACCGCGTCGAGGTGCGCTCCAAGCACAACGACGACTCCGCGTGGGTGTGGGCCAGCGCCGCCGACGGCAACTTCGAGGTGTATCCTGATGATGCGGAGGAGGACGAGCCGCTAGGGCGCGGCACTGAGATCCGGATTCACCTCAAGGACGAGGCGAGCGAGTACCTGTCGGAGGATAAGCTCAAGGTGTGTACGCGTTATAAGGTTGTTGAGACGTTTTGAAACGCGGAGACCGTATTCAGATCAAGGACGAGGCGAGTAAGTACCCGTCGGAGGACAAGCTCAAGGTGAGGAGGGGTGCTAATGGGGAGGAGGGCGGACATGTTGTTGTGCGCCCTTTACGGTTTGAGACGTTGAAAAGGAGGAAAGCTGAATCCATGTAAGGACGAGGCGAAAGAGTACCTCTCGAAATAAGTTCACGGTGAGGTGGATAAATAGGGGCGTCCTCGTGCGTCTCCGCTATAAGCTTGAGCACGTTGAACTACGGGCAGTTCATGAACTTTTCCATCTACATTTCCGTGTGAACACCACTTGGATGCCATGACACTAAGCTGTCCCTCCTGTGTCCCCTGTGTTTCCCTCGCGCTCCCGTGTGCCTCCCGTTTGTGCACGTGCGCAGGAGCTGGTGAAGAAGTACTCGCAGTTCATTAACTTCCCCATCTACATGTGGGGCAGCCGCGAGGTGGACGAGGAGGTACCGGTGGAGGAGGAGGAGGTGGAGAAGGAGGACGACAAGGAGGAGGAGAAAGACGACAAGGACAAGGACGACACGGAGACGGACGAAGGTGCGTCCCGTGCACCACAGCTCGTCAAAGCCTTTCTCTGTAACTGCAAACCGTGCCCTTCGTGCTAGCGATTGCTGTGCAAAGAGGGATATTTAAGAAAGTGTTCAAAGCAGGAGAGAGATCCCTGTGTGTATGCCCACGTGGCAGCCGGGTCTGGGATTCATCATGTCGCATTGGATCCCCATGTTTGTTCGCATTGTGTGTGGTTTGCGGTGTGCGTGCATTGGGGGTTTGGGGCTGGGGCATGGACTGCGGCGTTGGTGTGTGCGTGGCGGGTGGCGGGATGAGCAGAGGAGGACAAGGACAGCGAGGATGTGTCGGAGGACGAGGAGAAGGAGGAGGAGGAGGACAAGGAAAAGAGTACGTCTCGTCCCTCCCACACAACTTCTCTCACTCATCTTATACCACCGTGAACCGTTTTCTATCTTTTCCCTGCCAAAGTCGCTCCTCCCGTCCCTCCTTATCAACTCGTCCCTCCCGTCCCCCTTTCAAGTGCTCCTCCCGTCCCTCCTTTCAAAGTCGATCTTTCCATTACCCCCTTCTCTCCTCTCTCCCTCCCTCCTGCGTGGCGGCATGGCGGCATGGTGGTGGTGGCCTGGCAGAGCCCAAGACGCGCGTGGAGAAGCGCACCAAGTGGGAGTGGGAGCTGCTGAACAGCGTGAAGGCCATCTGGCTGCGCAACCCCAAGGACGTCACCGACAACGAGTACCGCGAATTCTACAAGTCGCTCGCCAAGGTACGCTCCGTTGCGCCCTGACCCCTGCGCCCTGCCCCCTGCCCCCTGCCCCCGGCCGTCTGACCCCTGCCCCCGGCCGTCTGACCCCTGCCCCCGGCCGTCTGACCCCTGCCCCCGGCCGTCTGACCCCTGCCCCCGGCCGTCTGACCCCTGCCCCCGACCGCCTGCCCCCTGCCCCCGGCCGTCTGCCCCCTGCCCTTTGCTTCTCCCCCTGCGCCCTGCTTGCTGCGCTCGCGTGTGCTGTGCTGTATGCACTGCCCGTCACCCCGCCCCACCTCATCATTTGCGCCCGTGCCACCTCATCTCGTGCGTGAGCAGGACTACGGCACGGACAAGCCTCTCTCATGGACGCACTTCTCCGCTGAAGGAGACGTGGAGTTCAAGGCGGTGCTCTTCATCCCGCCGCGCGCGCCCTACGACATGTACGACAACTACTACGCCAACAAGGCGGCGCTCAAGCTGTACGTGCGGCGCGTGTTCATCAGCGAGGAGTTCGAGGAGCTGCTGCCCAAGTACCTCAACTTCCTCAAGGTGAGACACCCGCACTGCTCTCGACCCCTCTCTATCACTCCCACTTATCTATTCTCAGGTATTTCAGCTTCCTCAAAGCCAGCTGCTGCTCGAGCTATTGCCCGCCCAGGCTCGTGTCCCCCCATCCCCGCGTCCATACCCGCACCCGTCCCAACGCCAATCCCGTCCCCTTCCCCCGCTCTCTCCTGGTTCCCAAGCTCGTCTCATCTTCTCTCCTTCTACATGTGTGTGCGGGTGAATGGTATGGCAGGGTCTGGTGGACTCGGACTCGCTGCCGCTGAACGTGTCTCGTGAGATGCTGCAGGCGCACAGCAGCCTCAAGACCATCCGCAAGAAGCTCGTGCGCAAGGCGCTTGATATGATCCGACGGCTGGCGGAGGACGAGGAGGAGGCCAAGGCCAAGGCCAAGGAGGAGCGCGAGGAGGGCAAGACCGACGAGGATGGTGAGTGCCTGCTGCCTGCCTTGCCCGCCGCGTCTTGTGTGTTGCCCCCCCCCCCTTCTGTTGCGCACACGGCTGGCGGAGGACGAGGAGGACGCCAGGGTCAAGGCCAAGGAGGAGCGCGAGAAGGAGGGCAAGACTGATGAGGATGGTGAGTATCCACCCCACTCCACATGCCATGCGCCCCGCCCCCTCGTGGGCGGTGTGTCCTGCCCCCTCGTGTGCCGTATGATCGTTGCACCCATGCTCACCCTTCCACTACCCGTTGTCACCACCCTACACGCTCACTAGTTCTCCTACCTATCAATCACGTGCCTGCCTCCCATTTACCGCTCACCACTCCCCAAAACCCCGTTTCCCTGCTGCACCTGCCCGCTCCTACTTCTCCAGACAAGGAGCGCGTGCCGTCGGACGCGGAGACGCAGTACGAGGACTTCTGGCGCGAGTTCGGGCGAGCCATGAAGCTGGGCGTGATTGAGGACTCGTCCAACCGCATGCGCCTCGCCAAGCTGCTGCGCTTCAAGAGGTGCGGTGTTGTGGAGGTCTATGGGGGGGTGCGAGTGCAGGGCTTCGTAGGGGAGGGTTTATGGGGTGGAAAGTGGATTAAATCTGTGAACGACGAGCCCTTCTCCACTCTTCTCCACGTCCCACCCAGTACACCACCTCAAAGTCTTTCCATCCTCCCCACTGTCCCTACCTCTCTTCCCTCCACCCGCCAGCTCTAACGACCCGGAGAAGCTGACGAGCCTGGAGCAGTATGTCTCGCGCATGAAGCCGGGCCAGAAGGCCATCTACTACGTGACGGGGCCCAGCCGCGAGCAGCTGGAGCGGTCGCCCTTCATCGAGAAGCTGCTGAAGAAGGGCTTCGAGGTGCTCTACCTCACAGAGCCCGTCGACGAGTACCTCATGCAGAACCTCACTGACTTCGACGATAAGAAGTTCCAGAATGCCTCTAAGGAGGATCTGAAGCTTGGTGGGAAGAAGAGCAAGGAGAAGGAGAAGGCGATGAAGGAGGGCTTCAAGGATCTGCTTGCGTGGTGGAAGGAGCAGCTGGGCAGCAAGGAGGTGGAGGCGGTGAAGCTGAGCGAGCGCCTGGCGTCGTCCCCATGCGTTGTGGTAACCAGCAAGTACGGGTGGAGCGCCAACATGGAGCGCATCATGACGTCGCAGGCTCTGGGAGACCCGACACGGCAGTCGTACCTCAAGGGAAGGAAGATTCTGGAGGTCAACCCGCGGCACCCCATTGTTCAGCAGCTCAAGGAGCTCGTTGCTGCTGACCCCAAGGTGTGTATGGGAGGTGAACGGGAGGAGAGAGGGGGGAGGGGAGATGGCGACCCGACTGTTATGCTTGAGGGTTCTGTGGTGCTTGCAGCAGTTCGAGTTGATGGTGCAATGGGGACTGTCCTTGAATGGGTGCTCTTCATAATACTGACTACTTTAAGGCACGATGACCTGTTTGTGATTTACTCACTCCCTCCCTCTTGCCCTTGTGAACGCTGTCTGTGCATGCCTCTGTGTGCGTCCGTGTGTGTGCCGGCATGTGTGTGTTGATCCTTGTGTGCGGTGCAGGACGAAACGGCTGTGAGTGTGGCGTCAACCCTGTACGAGACAGCACTCATCGAGTCGGGCTTCTCTCTGGAGGACCCCACCAAGTTTGCAGCGCGCATCTTCTCGGCACTCAAGACCAACCTCAAGATCGACCCTGACGCTGGCGTGGAGGAGGAAGAGGAGGAGGAGGAGGAGGTGGTCGAGGAGAGCAAGGTATGAGGGTACTGACCAGCAGGGTGTGTGGGAATGCAGTTTTATGCTTGAAGGGAAGGGGATGTTGAGGATGCCTGGATTTGCCAGGGGATGGCTGGGAGGAGTCAAAAATTGCATGCCCTGTTTTCTCCTGGAGCCTGCAGCACTAACGGATTATTTCTCCCGTTGTCACTGCGCATGCGTCTGTCCCGTGTTGTACATTATCGTGTCTCTTTTTCTGTGGCTGTGCAGGGCGAGGATGGGATTGAGACAATCAGTCTGGGCGGCGACGAAGAGTCAGCAGAAGATGACGCTGACGCAGAAAATGAGGCAGCAGGGCTGGACGATGAGAAGCACGATGAGCTCTAGCTGACAGGGGGGGGGGCAGGAATGAATTTTGTAGAGGATGATTAGCTGTGCTTCCATTTAAACTGAGAGGCATGACATGTCTGATGCACCCCAATCCAGCAATTCCGGTTAATTATAATATCCTGAGGTCAAGTTTGGCTAACCGCAGTCTCACGTAATTTCGCAATTATTATATGCTGGAGTGTCCCAGCTTCATAAGGAGTCCTTGCAACACATTTGAAATCCAGGTCATTGTGCATGTGCTTGGTAACTTGGTTCCTCGTTAGTTGCCATTGCTGCTGCTTCAGTCTGAGGGACACAATGGAGAAGAGGAGGAAGGGGGAGAGGGAGAAACGTGCCACACCATAATGTTAAGGTTAGGATTGTGGATGTGGTGGTCACAAGAGCAAGCATGCATCCATGAAGAAAATGTGCTACATGTCACATAAAGAAGATTCCCGTAGGATGTGATACCGTAATTCCAGTTTATCATGCAGACTAGGAAATGCTAAACTGAAATTGTTGTTGAATACCAAACTGACCTGCTGCGGGTTTCACATACCACGAACGATAAATGTACGGGCTAAAATACCTCGCTGCTCCATAGAATTGAATGACGAGACCGATGTAACTAATATGAGTTGTAGGACCCTCTGCCAAATTTGGCAGAACCAGCTACGGTAACAAGAAACATGAGCAGCTATAGCTGGGAATAGTGTTTCGTGCCATTGTTTCTGTGCCGTGTGTACAATTAGTCTTTCAGTCAACAAGAAGGCATCTGTGGTCATTTTGTAAGTTTCCTCCGTAATTTCGCCACTCCTACCTTAACGCGTCAAGAAGATCGAGATCTGCTGACGTGGTCACTATTCAGATGAGGTGTCTCCACCATTATTTCGGTGACCTGCTGAACAGCGCGTGTTGTCGCGTGGACATGCTCTGCGCTGTCTTCAACTTGCTGGTTTGATATGGGCCATTGGCCAGTGCAGATCGTACAACTCACAAAATATTTATGAACAATCTCATGGAATCGTAAAAACTGTTTAGTGTCTCTATCATTTTTAAACAGCGATTAGCTTCACACACCTTACTCTGTCCCCCTTCTCACGAGATTCCAGCAAATTTAGGAATTTGGCTGCCCGTGCCCCATAGGTTCAGCCATTTCTTCGCGAATAGAATATTTCCTTGCCGCGCGTATCTGAACGACAGTTACACCTACCCAAAATCTGCCGACTCAATGGCAGGGGACGGCTGGAGGCGACACACACACACCCACCCACACAAACGCACATCAGCTCGCATGATGGGGCGGCCAATTGCGGCCGTCAGGTCCGCCGACCGACTGTGCTGCGGGGGCTGGTTGGCAATTGTTGGTGTGGGGCCGAAGAACAGGGAGCAGGCAAGCTGACGCACATCCAGCTGCAGCCTGCGGCTCGACTGCGACCATTACAGCGTGCAGCCGTGTCTGCTGGCCGCACGTACTTTCTGGCGCTAAAACTTCTGGGCTCCCCTTAACCCAACGCTGCTAGTGGGCCAAATACGTTCCGAAGCCGTCCCAGGTGTTCGTGGTTCAGACCAAGCCTTTGCCAGGTTGCTTGCATGGCTTTGAAACTGCCGAAGCAGTGGTTTGGCGAATCAGAAGCGGGTACTGAGCCACAAATTCTCCCAACGTGAACCTTCCTTCACATAACAGACTACTCGATTGCCGAACCAGCAATGGTATGTAACAGACCAGCCCAGACCAGCGGAGGCTGGTTTACCCGTTTGATGGTGACAGGGCTGCATATCGATTTTCCAAATCGACGGCATTCCGTTCCTCGGTTGCCGTCGATTTTTGCCAGCTTGATCTTGCTCCTCCACGCCTGGCCTCATGATTGGCGCTGCAACCAAGGAACGAACAAACACCCCCCTTCCGCCGTCTCCCTTCCGCCGTCCCCCAGCCCTGCACCGGCCGCCGTCAACATGACTGCTTCGCCTGCGAGCGACCAACGAGTTGCATCGCCCTGGTGTGGCTTCGGCGCGTGTCCTGCCCAGTGGGCAACTTGCGGAGGCACATCTGTCCACCTCGAAGTCCGCGCGCTCCCGGGCTTCCCCCCTCACCGTCGGTCCTTCGTTCCGCACTCCACCTCCAGCCCACACAACACACGTGAGGCGTGCCCCTCCCGCCCCTGCCTCTCCCCAGTCGTCTCCCCACCTTCCCCCCATCTCTTCCCCCGCAGGTGTTCCTTCTCCGCCCCCCTCAATTCGCATCTTCGTTCTCCGCCCAGCGCCCAGCAGCACAAGCCTCACTTGGCCATCTCCCGCTTCAACAATTCACAACGCCGTCCCCAACTAAACCAGCGCAGACTGCTGCTTTTTCAATCCCATCTGCTGTCCTTCTCAGGTTTTGACTTCATTCTGTGGTTAGTTGTCTTCGATGCTTCCTGAGGCTCTCATTTCAACAGCCTTGATTTTTCCACCATAACTGCTACTCCTCTCTTTAATCCGATCGCCATATTGAAAGCATGCTCGCCGCCTCGCCTTCGCCGTTTGTGCACCACGTGCTTCAGGATCAGTGGCAGCCGCAGCATCATCATCAACAGCCGCAACATCATCATCAGCAGCAGCATCAGCAGGCCATCATCCCGAGCCCTCAACCCGTGTTCGAAGCGCACCACCTCTCCGCCAGCCCCGCGCCTGGCGCCGCGGACAATAAGCTGCGCGAGCTCGCGTCCATGGCGTCCCTCGCGAACCACCCCGCGGCTCCGTCGCCGCCGCCGCCTGCGTCGCACGCTCAGTCACCGCCCGCCGCGTTCACCGACCCGTGGAGCGCGGGCTCCGACTCCCCGTGCGCGCAGTTCGCCGCGCAGAGCCCCCCCGGCGGCCCGCCTCCTCGCCTATCATCCGCCGGTTGCAACGAGACTCTCCCGTCGCCGATCCCCACGCCCCCCTGCACGTGCTACTCGCGGCTGCCGGCCGGATGCACGACGGATCCGCACGCGCCGACCGTCAAGTACATCGGCGTGCGCCTGCGCGGGCGCAACCGGTGGGTGGCGGAGATTAAAGACAACAACCACGGCGTGCGCAAGTGGCTCGGCACCTTCGCGTGCCCCGTGCAGGCCGCGCAGGCCTTCGACGCCGCGGCGCGTGCTATTCGCGGCCCGAAGACGAAGGCGAACTTCAAGCGCGGCGACGCGGAATTCGTGGAGGACGTACCGGAGGTTCTCTCTGTGCTCGCGTACTGCGCCTCGGGCAAGCCGCCGCAGCAATCGGGAAACCTGGCGGGTTTAGCGGACGGCTCAACGCGGAGAGCGTCTCCGAAGCAATCGTCTCCCGGGGGGGCGCCTGGGCCGGGCAGAAGGCTGGGCAGGGGCAAGCCGCCGTCCCCCACTGCCGGCCCCTTGCCGCTCGCGATCGGCCCGCCGTCCATCGCCGCGCCGCCCTTCGCCGCCGCGAAGTACGCAGTTGACGCGACTCCACCCGGCGCCACGCTGCATCATGCCGCATCGCGCTTGTCCATGCCGTCCCCGTCGTCAGCGCTGGTCTCGCCAAGCCCCATGCAGCTCACCGGAACTTACAACTCTGACGCGTCGCCGCTAACGACCTTCCCGTCTGCTCGCGCGCCGCATGAGGTCGTTGTGAAGCGCGAAGCCCTGGCGCCGTCCTCCCTGCTGCCCGTCGCGGCGTTCGCCGAGGCGCGCGCGGCGAGCGAGCACGCGGTAATTGTGCAGCCGGCTCACGCAGGCGGGCGCGCGGCGACGTGCTGCGCGCCGCCAGCCGCAGTTGACGGTGTGACGTGGGTGGTGGCGGAGCCGGAGCAGGCGACGCCTTGGCCCGCGCGGACGGCGGAACCCGCCAGGTTCCCCCAGCTAGTTGCGCCCGCGCCCCACGCGCCGTATCACTCAGCTTCGCCCCATTGGCGCGACGCGCAGGGGGAGCAGCGCGAAGTGCGGTGCAGGGGAGCAGAGGTCCAGGCGGGAGCAGGAGGTGAAGGCGACAAGACAGTGATTGAATGCGCCTCGCTGTGGTCTCCGTGCCGCCCGATTGACGCGAGCAGAAAGGATGAGGACACATTCGCACACACGCCATCCGCGCAACCAGATGACATGGAAGTCCGATCCTCAAGCCACGTCAGGCTCGGCAAGCGCAGGTCGCCCGAGCCTGCAGAGGGCCTTCAGTTGAATCAGTTGGCGCGGAACGCCGAGGCAAGCGGGCCTGCAGGCATGGGAGGGGTGCTCTCTCTGCTGTCCGTTGGAGCCCTCCAGTCGTCCGGCGAGAGGCTCGGCGGTAGGCTCGGTGGCGAGAGTCTGAAGGTGAAGGGAATGAGCCTTGCCTCCCTCTTGCCTGTTGCCGAGCCTGCGCTGACTCCTAAGGAGTTTGGCGAGCTTCGGCAGAGGCTTGGGTGGAAGGTGGTCCGGATGGAGGACCTGGAGGAAATCCCAAGGGTGGCTCGGGAAGCTCTGTTGAGGTTCAGGCAGGACAAAGACTTCACCATGCTGTCACTGTAGTAGACGCTGTAAGGGTCGGTTAGCATGTATCATAGGTAGGCACGTCGTAAGTTGCTAAGGTTATTATGGTATGTTGTAACGTTGTAGTGTAGATTTCAATATGATGAGGTCTTTTGCCTAACCATTCATTAGGGGCCTCAGGTTGTATGGTGCAGATGTTCATGGCTCAAGCTGAACACCAGGGGAAGGAAGACCGTAATCTTGAGCACACACTGAAAACAATAACACCATCTGTAACTGCAGGTGGATCTGATGGTACTTTGACTGGTGGCCAATAATGCAGGTGAGCGTTGATGCATAAAGAAGACAAGTCTACAACTATCGGATGGATCTGCACTCTACATTAAGGCTCGGAGGGCAGCTTCTTGTGCAGCCAGAGGTTGAGCCCGCCGTCCAGATGGAGGATGTTGGTGAACCCCGCCACATGCAGCTCGTAGCACGCCTTGAGAGACCTGCCAGCCACACAGCACAGGGCCATTGGAGTGCAGCACGCCCTCGTTAAATTCCACTCCATGCTGTTGAGTGCATGACGGAGCACAGGACAGCGTGAGGCTATGTTCTCCATGGCTATGATGTCCCCCCCCCCCCCCACCTTCTTGTCCGGGTCCCTGAATTCCATGCCTGTGCGCATCGACTAGTATGCTCAACACCCTCCCCACCCCCCCTGCCCCCACAACTCAAGTATGGCGAATCTCTCATCCGGGTCTCAAAACTCCATGCCTTTGCTCTAAATGCATGACAAAGCACAGCACAGGATGCCTCAAAACCCCCCCCTGCCCTCCCACCCCCGCTCCTCCCCCCCATACCTGGACTGGATGCCGAATCGCTTGTCGGGGTCCCTAAACTCCATGCCTTTGCGCATCGACACGTTCTGCAGCGTGCCGCCTCGCCCGCACATCACAATCACAGTGCGGCTCTTATCTCCCCCCACCGCCGCCTCCGCCTGCTTGAGCAGGTCCGGATTGCGCTCCGTGCCCTTGAAGTCGCCCATTGTTGCGTACCCCACGCGGCGAGCCCACGCGGTGACGTCGCTGCCTTGGATGAGGCGGAAGAGCGGCGCGCTCGCTGCTCCGCGCGCGTGCACCTCCTCGTAGTCCCCCGCCTCGCGCACATCCAGCAGCACTGCCCGCCCGCTCCCACTGCCCTCCGCGGCCTCGCTGTCGCCATATGCCATGGCTGCTGCCTCCTCTGGTGTCACGCTCTTGAGCCCGAGCGCCGTGAGCTCATTGAACACCACTGGGGTGGGGAGGGGAGGTGGAGGACAGGGGGAGCCGATGGAAGGGAAAGGGGTTGATGTGGAGGGGAAGGGAGAGCGTCTGGGGTTGGCAGGTGTTGGAAGTGGTGGTGCGGTACACACGGTCACACGGCACACACACATACATACCCTATCAGCACGCCACACACTACATACCCTATCAGCAGGCCACATACATAATCTATCAGCAGCAGGCCACATACGTACCGTACCAGGAGGTGTATTCGAAGGAGCCATCGAAGAGGGTGTCTACTCGCCCCTTCTTCGGCGCGCCCTCCTGCAAATGCACGGCATTCATCGCATGACACAAAACTGATCGCATTCATCGCTTTCAGTGGAATTATTGCATGGCACGGGAGTCATCGCAAGGGACAGCGATTATCGAACGGCACGTTAAATGTCACATGACAAGGCGAATATTGCATCAGGAATTTGGCACGCAGCAATATCTACCTTATCCGAAGCCTGTGCCCGCGGCTGGACCGCGAGAGCGCGTCCTCTACCATTGGTGGCAACAGCTAGTGCCACGTGGCGTCGGACACACTTTCGAGTGACGAACGCGGACGGCGATAGAGGACATGTGCTAACGCGAAGAGTGCACGCCATGGCGTCGCACCGTCGTCCGTGTCGCCACTACTGCTACACGCAACCTTTTCGTCGTCCTTCTTGAATGCTGCAGGAATCCCATGGCGGTGAGGCTGTGGGCACAGAGCAGTGAGGGCAGTTGCGACTGTTGAAGAAATGTCGTCAATGAATTCGCTTCGCTGGTGTTGCCGCTCGCAAAACAGTTCGCCTGATCTCGCATGCCTATCAGACACCGCCAAATCGGTGATTGGCAAATAATGCCCCATAGCCTTCCCTTGTGCCATTTTCTGGGAACTCGACACTTCTTTTATGTATGTTTCCGGAGTGTAGAGTTTTGTGGAACTCAACAAACCCATTCGCGGACCTGACATTTACGGCCGACGTGGCGGAGTATGGGATTGTGGGATCCAACCAGCGAATGAATTAGGCGCAAATAGCCAGCACAGCAGCGTCTTGGAAACGACCACACTGGGCGAGCAAATGCCACGCGTCCTTCAATCCGTCCCGCGCAATCGAGACTGTCGGACATGGCTAAGAGGATGAGATGCGACCCGTTTCATCGTATCCCACCGTGTTCAAATGATTTAGAAACCTTTCCATCGCATTCGGAGCCTCCATGGATCACTTCCACTGATCAGACTCCTTGCTTTTGTCGAAGGCCGACATAAGGATAGCATTTGACATTCTGTTCTGTGGTAATATTCGAGGCTGAGAAAGTAGGCTGACAAGTGGACGGAAGCAATAGCTTTCTGTGTTTCGCAGCTTCGTCCATCCTACTTCTTGAGAACCCGCTGCAATGGCTGCCGTAACGTCGCTCGTCATTGAAATCGGTTCCTGTAGCATCACGGCAGAGAGGCTTGTCTCGCAAGCCCAGGCCCCGAAGCTGCTACAGCGTCCACGATCAGCGTTCTTCGCGCAATGCCCGCCGAAAGCACTCGTTTCTTGCAAGTCCCAAACCACGAGACGCGTGCTCCGAGCGATAGCAGCATCTGACAGCAGCACCGAGACGTCGGCGGCGGCGAGCGGCGGAGCAGCGGAGTATCTGGAGGTGTTGATAGAGTCGGACGCGGGTGTGAGCTATGATCACCTTCAGGACAAGCTTGCCGCGGGGCAGTGGGAGGAGGCGGACAACGAGACGCGGAGGCTGCTGTGCGTTCTAGCCGGCGAGGCCGCAGCGAAGCGCAAGTGGGTGTACTTCACGGAGGTACAGAACATTCCCGATAAAGACCTCCTGACAATTGACCGGCTTTGGCGGGCGTACAGCAAGGACCGGTTCGGGTTCAGCGTGCAACGGAAAATGTGGCGCGCGCTGAGCCGACAGTGGAAGCCGTTCTTTCTGCAGATCGGGTGGACGTACGGCCCCAACAGCACGTACAAGAAATTCCCGATGGAATTCTCGTGGGAACTGGACGCGCCCGTGGGCCACCTGCCGCTGACGAACGCTCTGCGAGGCACGCAGCTGATTGAAAAGTTATTCACGCATCCCGCGATGGCCGTGTTCGACGCCGACGAGACGATGCCGGACCTCGACACCGTGCCCAGCGTAGTGGCCGCGGAGCCGGAGAAGGGCAGCGTCAGTCCCAGCAGTAGTGGAGCCGCGGGAGGTACGATGTTTGACGAAGGCTTCAACAGCGCCGATTACGGGTTCTGAAGCGTTGCGAGTGGCGGAAAGGTCTAGCTCGTACGTTTCGCTTGCTGATTCATGCGTATTCCAGTACGCCACGGTGCACGAATATTTTTTGGTTACGAATCTCACTCGTGAGCTTTTTCGAAGAAGCAATCTCATGTCAAAGACCCAACACAATTTTGATGTGATTTATTCCGCTGCACATTGCCACTCCTTCACATCCCTTCGCACAAGCCTCACACACACACTATTCCTCTCGTCCCCGAACAGTTCCAAAACCGCGCAACCGGTCCCTCCCTTCCCAATCCCCCTCCCTCCCCTTCACCCTCACACCACACCATTAATCTGATACTTGCAATCCCAACTAATCACGACCCGCTTCCTCTGTCCCCTTTGCCAAACCTTAGGCCCTTCACCTTCTCGTTTTCCCTCCAGCTGCTTTTTATCTGTCTATCCTTGTTTAGCTTCTGGTCATTCCCACAAGTCTTCGCCCTCTTGTAGACGACCTCCCACACCACCACTCTCCCGCCATTATCTCTCCTTAATCAGCCTAATCAAACCTCCTTACTCTTTATTCGACCACCCACAGCACCACTCTCCCATCACTGTTTCTCCTTCCTCAGCCAGTAGTAACCGCAGGTTCTGTGCAGTCACTGCTAGACAGCACAAATGGATTTCAGGAAGGGAAATGTCACACTTGTTGATGTTGGTCTGAGCTTATTCACTAGTTCAAAAACCGTTTGGGTATGCTTATTTGGACAGGAAACCTTTTAGATTCTAAAGGTTTTAGTTTTGGTGGCTGCAGTCTATTCTCACGTTTCTACCTATGCGTGATCTTCCGTTGCCTCCACTCCACAGTGAATGGCAGCATTGCATTCCTACAATCCAGAGTACATCGGGAAAAAAAAAAAAAAAAAAAACATTAGCAGCATAGAATTATTCTCCAGTACTGTGATGGGTTATTCCTTTTACCATAACACAATACATGCCACATTGCCCGGATGACACTAATCATGACTGATTATGTACGGTATCACATTGAACTCGAACTATGTGATACAGCATGCCTGGGCCTGTGTTTGGAAAATCCTTTGCTGGATAACAGAAACATTGTAATGCAATGGCCTAGTACCTAGTATCCTGCAGTAACCCCTCCGTCCACCACTAAAGTCTGCCCTGTGACATAACTTCCAGCATCCGAAGCCAGAAAAAGGACTGCATTTGCCAGTTCCTCCGGCCTACCCAGCCTACCCATGGGGACCTGCTGCTCCATGCGCTTCCTAGCCTCTTCCACCGTCACACCCCACGCCTCTGCCCGTTTGGTGGCAAGATTGGCGATCCGTGCTGTGTCAAAGCTGCCTGGTGCCACGTTGTTGACTGTGATGCCGTGGCAGGCTAGGTCCTGCAGTTGAGGAGAGTGCGACAGGGAGTGATGTTGGGGCATGGACTCAGAGAAATACAAGTGGAAATGTGGGGGGGGCAACGGGGAAAGCCTGGTGCAGGCGAAGGGGAGATGGAGAACGAGGTTCTTACAAGAGAGAGGGTCTTGAGCATGCCAACGACAGCCGGGCGCATGGCATTGGAGAGCAGCAGGCCTGGGATGGGCTGCTTGACCGACGTGGATGTGATGACCACAATGCGACCCCATGAGCCTGTCTGCACTTGACAGTAATGTCATGACAGTGGTGGAATGAAACGAGTGTGAAGGGCTGAATACCAGTGGATGACGTAGATCAAACGTGATTGATGGGGATAGGAATCTGATGCTGCTGAGAATGGAAATTGGAGTCATGCACAGACACACACACAAAAGACTAGAATGCTGTCAAGTTTTCGCTGCTCTGCTCTCCATGTACCTTCATGTGAGGCACTGCATGTTGAATGAGACGCGTGGTGGACATGAGAGTCCCCTGAAATGCCTCCTGCCATTGTGCCTCTGTGACACTATCGAATGTTCCAGGAGGAGGCCCGCCACTGTTCGCTACAAGCACATGCAGCCCACCATACGTCTGCAGATGAACAATGTCAGAGGAAGGGGAGAATGAGAGGAAAGAGCAAGGCGAGCGGGAGTGGAAAGAAGATGCAAGCAGCCCACCCTAGGCTGCTGCAGAGCAGCGGAGTGAGATGTGCCAGATGCAAAAACTTGCGTTGAGTCAAATACATCTGAAATTTATAAATGTGTACCTTCACTGTAGCATCCACAACGGCTTGAAGCTCGTCCCCCTTGAGGACGTCCGCCACGAGTGGTAGGACCTGGGCGCCCCCCACCTCTCCGCGGATCTTTTCCGCGGCCGCCTCAATGCGCTCGGGGGAGCGCGAGAATATTGCTACTCGCGCTCCCGCCCTGACTGGGATAGAGGACAAAAAAGGGGGGGTATTAGTGACCGCTAGGTCAAAAACTCAGCGATCAGAAGCAGACGTCGGTGGAATGAAGAAGAAAAGCGTAGGCGAATGGAGGCGAATAGATAAAACTCGGGAGGTCGGATAGCATGTGCAATAGGGAAGAGTAGGAAGGTGGAACGGAGGACCCAGGAAGCATGCGAACCTGGCGAATGCGAGAGCGCAGTGGTAACCGAGTCCCGCACTCGCGGCTGCGACCAGTGCTACCCGACCCTGGAGTCCTAACGTAAGCGCCTCCATATGGGCTGAATGCCAGAAATTCGTCTACGAAGCACTGGCGAGTACGCGAAATGTATATTTCCTCAAGGCCCAAGAAGAGGATTACAATATTGCTGCGCGGAGGACGACAGAGAGGAGGCGAAATGGAACCAGGATGCTCGAAAATGCAGGTGGAGGACAGCAAAAACGCCCTTCTACAGGAACTCTGGACGGACGGGCGGGCTACATGATGTTGGGGGGGGAATTTCAAAGAAACATTTGAGAGGGATGTGTCGTTTCGATGACGTCAGCAAATAAGATGTTTGATATATACGGTTTTCTTATTCGTCAGGCCTTGTAACGCGACCTGGTGATTTCAAGGTATGGGGCATGCGCTGTCGAAAAATCGCTTCGGGCAAATTCACTTTCGCCACGCCACGGTTACCAGCTATGACTGCAGATTTTCTTCAAAGCGGAAAATCATGTTGCACGCTCGCTGTTGTGTCAGGGAGGGAAAATTGTGATGCATGCTCTGACTGACTGACAATCTCGAGGTCCTGAATTCGGGTCAGAACTTGCCTCCATGTGCTATTTATCTGTTCTTCTCTTGCACAACTCCCTTAGACCGACGCGTCATGACTTTTTGCGTTCTCTGTTGCAGATTTCCAGCGCCCAGTGGGCCCGGTTTTACGCTTAGTCTAAGTAGTAGCCGTGTTCTTCGACCATCTTCGCACAAGCTGCGTCCTGTAGTTTCCGTCTGTGACAAGATTCCGGTTACCTTCTGTGTGTCCCAATCTCGCCAGCTCGTTGGTCGTTCTCCGGTTATCATGGCGTCTCACAATCCCGCGATTCCCGCTGACTCATCCTCTTTAGTTGCACCTGCGATTCCCGCAAAAGTGCACAAGAGCGCCGTTTGCGTGATTCCTCCGCAAGAGACCTGGGGTTCCATCCAAGCTATTCGTATCGTACACGATAAAGTGAGCCGTAATTTACGATGCATAACACTCTCATGGAAGACATGCATGTACGTTGTGTTAAGCTGTCTCCTCCGTTTCAGTTGACCAACCAGTGATAAGCTCATGAATCCGTTCCACACTCTTCTGTTGCTTTCGTATCTCGGCCAGCGTAGCATTACAAGCGCTGGATGCCTCACATGAACCTGCTGTACCCATTTTGGGAAGACAAAGGGGACAACTTCCACAGAGCCGCAGCGATCATGGTATGCCAAAATGCTTTACCTGGTTTCGCTTCGTGCACCACCTACTGTTATGAGAGTCAGTGTGCGTCAGTTAACTAATCCATGCTCTATTTGTCAGTTGCTGAACCACCGCCTGTGACCCTCTGCCGTGCAGCAAACAGCACTGGCAGATACAGAGCCATTTGAGGTCCAGCTCGCCTCTTTTAACGTCTTCCACCATGGCAAGAGCTGCACTGTGTGGCTGCAGCCAACTCCCTCGCCGCCTCTCGTCGCCCTTCAACAAACGCTGGAAGCTGCTTTTCCTGACTGCAACGACCTCAGCGAAATCGTGGCTGATCGCTTCTGCCCTCACCTCTCCGTTGGCCAGGTGAGGAGATTAGGGAAATTATACGCGAATCATCATTTCACCTCTGACGTCATTTGTGATGACGTTTATAAACGTGCTTTTTCTAACTATAATCTGAATTTTTGGCAGTGGAGCACAAGGAAGGGGGCAGAAGCAGCCATCAGTTCATTCCAGCAAACATGGACGCCTGTCACGTTTCAAGTATCCTGTGTCTCGCTTATAAGTAGGCAAGGTACGCCGTTTCTTGGATTCTTTTTTATTGTTATTATTTATATATTTGTAGTTTATACAGGCATATCCATGGTGTGCCACACTTCGTTTCACCAAAAAGAAATTTCCACTTCCTGCTTCGGTGTTCTTGTCCAGGTACTGTACTACCCGTTCCACATTTTGCTCCTACCCATGTCTCTCTGTGGTGCTGCAGGTTACCATGATCCTTTCAATGTGCAGGTGCAAGTGCCTTTAGGTGCTGTGCGTCAGGATTCCGAAGTACATGGTAGGGCAAGCAAGTGCTAATCAGGACCGACTATGGCACTAGCTGACTAATGCAGGAGGTGGGCAAATTCCTTGATATGCCCAAAATAAAATAGTTTCACCGTGGTCCTATGGTCTAGTGGTTATGACGTCAGACTCTGAATCTGAAAGGCCGAGTTCAATTCTCGGTAGGACCTTCGCGTTGCCCTCCTCTCCGACTGTTTTTCCCATTTCCTTCCGATATGAAAATAGATCTATCATTCGTTCTAACACTGGACGTCTGTCGCGGTTGATCCCCGTTTTCTGCGCTTGCTCAGCGTAGATGTCGTGCCCTGTTCTCATAGCCTTCTGCAGCCATCCCTGTCCCCCTGCTTCAGATCCCCACAAGCCCTCTCCACCCTCCTGTTGTTCCGTCAGAGCTCTGCTGCCATTTCGGGAGCTAGATTTTCACCTCGGCCATCGGCAGTGTTAGTGATGGCACCGCCTAGAATTTTCTTTCTTAGGTCTCGTTCTGGCCGCGCTGCTCGTCGCCTGTGGAGCAGATGGCGATTCGGACATGGTCACGTTGACCATTGACAATCGCGTTGGCTTTGTCGACAACGAGGAGGCTGCGTTCGTGAAGATCCAGGCGTCTTGGTACGCATCACAGGATAGTTAGGCTCTTTGCAATGTCCGTCGAGGTAATTACACGCACATCCTCTTCCAGCGAAAAAACTCCGCGTCTCTTCTCAGTCTCCCCTTCCTTTGTGCGGTTTTCCGTGCGCATCCAATTGCCTTGCTTTTCCGTCATCTCTCCGTGCATGCTCGTTTCGCATGTGTCCGTGGTGAATGCGTCTCCCGCGCAGGTGTCGGAACTGCGTGAATGCTGCTCCCTGACAACGAGAAGCTCGCCGCGGCGTTTAGGAAGACCAGTCTCTGCCGGGTATGTGCCGCTGGCTGCATGATTTCCTCACCTGCGTTTCTCACGCCTTGTCCCATTTGCCCCCCTCCCGCCTTTTTCGATTTCCCCCCCTCGCGCGTTTTCCCGATTTGTCCCTCTCTCGCTTTTTCCATTTGCCCTCCTCTCACCTTTTCCGACTGGCCCCCCTCACGCCTTTTCCAATGTGCGCCCCTCGCGCCTTGTCTGATTTGCCCCCCGCACCGCAAGAGCGCGGTAATTGGCCGGGTGGATGCCATGCTGTCGTTGCCCGGGTGGATGCCATGCTGAGACGCACCGATCCCTTGGAGAGAAGCGAGCGCTGCCAGTCGGGAGGGCGAGAGCACTGCGTTGCGCTGCTGCAGCAGAGGAGGGCGAGAGTGCAGCCTTGCAGGCCAAGGCTGAGGCTGGGCAAGTGCCAAAGGTCACGACCAAGTGAGTGTGTGGGTGTTTCGGTGGGCGGGCGGGTGGCTGGCTGGTTGGGTGGGTGGGTGGACGGGTCTGTGGATGTGGGAGTCTGTGTGAACGGCAAGTGGATCAGCTTGTGTTCTGCAGGAGCCGAGAGACAGGGCTCGGCGGTTTTCTCCCATTCCCCGCTCTGCTCCCTCCCTGCTGTGCTGGCCCTCTCCTGTCTCCCACCCTGCAAGCTGTCATGCGCACCAAGTGCCTGCATGTTGGCCGTGTGTCAGTCACACCACACGTGCTAATGCCCGCCCTCTCTTTTTTGCTCGTGCGCCATTGCAAATCTTCTGTTCTTCCGTGCTGCATATTCCCCCATGTGCATGTGCACGCAGGCATGGGGGCATGTGGATGCAGGCATGCGGGAATGTTCCACGTGAAGGTTATGAGGAGAGCGTCGCGGACAAGGGAGTAGATCACTTAGGCAAGAAGCTGGCTCACCTCCTGCCCTGCATAATCACAGGGGTATGCAGCGTCAACCATTTTTGCGGCACGACTTCTAGTTTCCCTTCGTTTGCATTGCTGCACCTTCTTCGCTTCCACTCGTTCAAGTCTCAACCACTAATGGCAAAGGTTGATGCATTGTCCCTCCTCTCTTGTGCTGCAGTGCAGACCTTCGAGCCAGGGAAGACTGATCAGTTTATCGTTCACAGAAACTTTCACTTCGCACATTCCCTCTGCTTTTGTCAATGCCGACCATCTTGCTCGCATATCAGTGTATATATCCAAGAAAGCTGCTTCTTTCAGTCTAAACCTGACATGCCTGTTAACTGACATACGCAGCCAATGCCTTTGAGAAGCAAGATCACTACCGTATGTAACTCTCACTCAGGTCAGTATGTCGCAACACGTTGGATTCTTCTGCGTAAATATAGCGCCACGTCACTGCAATCTGTGCTTATATGGCAGTCTTCACGCGGCGTTCCTTGTCTCCAAGCAAGCTTGCAACTTCGCCTTCCACGTTCACGATAGCAGCAGCCACGGGCATGGCTTGACCTCTCTTGCCAACTTCAGCCCCTTCAGGATTCCATGGATGAACCACAGCACTCGCAGCAGCGGAAGTGACAAAAGCACCGCTCCGGTTTCTGCTATCCGCAGGAGCATCTGTGCCAAGGATGAAGTCAATGGAGCTGCTGGGAGCATTCCATGCAGCAAGCGCATAGAACCCCACAGCGAGCACCAATACAAGGCAGACGAGCATTGCCAAGTGCACATAAGCAAACGCGAGCCCCACGTGCTCCCACATGTGCTCCTCGCAAATCAGCTTGTAATCCTGGTCTGTGGGATCGGTGTGGCAGTGCGAGGGCTGCATGTAGCCATACAGTGAAGCACCCGTCACCAACAACCATGCGCCCTGAAGTATAATTCCCAAATTCGAAATCGTATCCAGGAGGAAGCTTCTGGGAAAGGCGGCGGTGAGGAGCAGCGTGAGGGCAGTGGCTGAGATGAGAAGGACGAGGAAGATGTGGTAGCGGGCCTCGATGGGGCCGTTGTGCCCCGTGGAGTGGAAGAAAAACATGACTGATGCACTAATGTATGGCACTGATGTGAGTACATGCAGCGTGCCCTTGGGGAATGGGAGGTACCTGGACAGAGGGAAAAAAGGGGAAGGAAATAAAATTGAACGGTGCATCTTACAGCAAGAGGGTCAGATTCATGCCACTAGAATGAAATGGAAAGCTTTGCGAGTCGCCTAGTGGTCATTGGATTGGACTGGAGCAGGCGAAAAAGGCAAGTCAAGGCCTCACCTGGTGCTGTCATGAAGGAGCAGCACACCGTATGTCAAGACGAACACCACATTGGCGGACAGATGCTGCGGGGGAGGAAGAGAAACGAGGACATTTGCGCAAAGATGAACACATTCATTCTCGAACCGAGGTAACATCAGCGTTGAAAAGCGATTCCAGCAGCCACCTTAGGTTTAAAAATCACAAGAAAAGGAGGATATAATCAAGGCCCACATTTTCCCAGCACTCAGCACAGCCGCACCCATCTTTGTCAGGACATATGACCGTGTGAAGAGGCTACCTGAGAGTCGACTTAAATTCCCCCCCCCCCCCTTCCCCCCCCCCCCCCCCCCCCCCCCCCCCCCCTCCCCATCCCAACACAGTCACACGCACCTCGTAGCTGTTGTGCAGGACATAAGACTGTATAAAAATGTTGATCAACTCCGTAATCATGTACGCCGACCCGCCTCCCACTACCACGTACAGCTGCAATCGCGCCCAGTGCCCGGGAAGCGGCATGGGATGCCACACGCGCGCGGCGAAGGACTGAGGAGAGGCGAGGAAGTTTATAACGGAGCAGCGGAAGTTCCAGAGGCCCAGGAAGAGGAGCAGACAGCCCGGGGTCGCGTGCCCGTAGAAGGTCCCCATGGTTTCGCGAAGAAAGATGAATGCAGCGCTTTGCCACGCACGACTTGGTTGCTAACTAGCAGCAGCAAGAAGGTTGGTGGTAGTGCGGAAAGCTGGTCCAGGTAGTAGTTCCTACCAAACTATGAATTTAGTAACTTCTTTGGAGTACTACACTATGACACGACTCAAATTTTATCAAAAGTAGACTCAAAAGTCCGACTTGGTGACTCTATCTGATCCTCCGTCGCTCGCAGAGAATCGGAAGAATTGCTGGGGACCGCACTACTATAACTACTGAGTACCAAGCGCATAGCATACTCCTATGCTGATGATAGGTGCTAGTCGCACGCGGAGCAGCCCATGATATGCAGTACCCCACGTGCCGCGTTTTCACGAAACTTTTCCGTTGAACAGGAACCCTGCCGACGTGATATCCAGTAGTACCCATCCACCGACCAATGAAAGCCATTCAGCACTCCCAAGGCGTAGCGTGATGCAATAGGGAACGCGTTACCAGGTACCCCCAGTGAAAGCCACACTGGCCGGCGAGTGAGACGAGGTGTGAAAGGCATGGATGGGAAGCACAGCGAATACGCTTTCCAGAAATGACGGATCCAGACAGTTACGAATTTTCGCAGGGTGGCAAAGCCCACCGCCGCCGTAATTGGCTCGGGCACGTCTCCGAAATGTGCTGTGGTGAGCTTCATGACAGGCGTGGTACTAAGTTCGAGCGACGACGCGCGGGATGACAAATAGTGGCGGGTGGGAAATAACTAAAACTTGAGCCTCGCCACCGACAATTTCACGTATTCCATAAGCAGATTCCATACAATACTTGTGCCATATATATTTAAATTGTATAGGTATGGCGTCAGACAATTTCAGAAACTTCAGGGGATATTGATATTTCGAAACACATATCGCATCCATCGTCTTCTGCTACATTTTTGTGTTCTCTGTATTTTATTTTGTGAATGAAATGGGATCTTGTGTTTTCAATAATTATAAGAAACGTAAATAATAATTATAATAATGTTTTTTCTTTTTAAATGATGCAAAAGTCATTGGCTGTGGGAAATCTTGCGAAGTGGTGGAAAGCGGTTAGATTTCTAGATATTCAGCAGTTTGCAGGAGGCTGCGCGGCTTACTGTTGAAAAGCCGAGCGGGAGAAAGACAAGCCGCAGCAGTTTGCGGCTGCGGCTGTTGCGGCAGTTGCGCTCAACTACAGCGTCTCACAGGCGTCCGTCTTCGCGTTCCCCCTTTCTCCATCCGGTAGATTTTCTTAGTGAGGAGTACTGTAGCGAGGATCAACTGGTCTCCCTCACTTCGAGACTCGGGAGCGCTGTGGTTTGCTGTAACCATGGCTGTTGCCATTCATCAGCGGTTTCGTGTGCGATGATGCGAAGCGATCTCATCACAGCACATTCCGCGTTGCCCCGTAAATCCCGTCCAGGGCTGTTAGGCTCAGCCGAAACCGCAGCAGCGGCCCCGGGGACTTGATGGACGACGCTCCGCAGTTGTTAGGCTCAGCCGAAGCAGCACACGCAAGGCGGCGCTACCGAGCATCCACGAGGCATCGCTGCAGCTGGCGGTTTACGAGAAGCTCGGACGCGAGCCCTAATTTCTCCGCGCGATTCCCGAGCCACTCTCTCGCAGGCCCCGTTGACTTCAACTGCCAGTGGCGCAGGCGAGGCTCCCGCGGCGTGTCGGAACCTTGTTCTCAGTTGCGACGGTTAGGTGGCTGTTCTGATGGTTAGACGGTCGCACTAACTGTTAGGCGGCTGAACCAGGCAACACCAGGCCCCGCTTATCCGAACCGCCTCGCTACCCTTGCGATCGGGAAGGCGTTTCGCGGCTCGTCCCTGCGATGGATATTTTGAAGTATTCACCAAGTTTCCTAGTTGTCTTGTTTCAGGCATCTTGTAATCCAAGTGAATTCTTTAACGTTGTCACCTCTCTGTCATTCTCAAGCCGGTCAGGCAAAATGGCGAGTTCTCGCCTGTCTCTGCTGCTTCCGCTTCTCCTCGTCCTCGCCGTTTCCGTCGCGCCGTTGCTTTCCCTCCACGGATCTGCGTTCGCCCGCTCCTTCGAAGTCATCGACGGCGATATCGGCAGCTATCTCGGGACTGCGAATAATGAGGGGAACTCTTCCGCGGTGGCGGTGCCGGGAGCGGAGGAGGACGGCGCGCGCCGAGGGCTCCAGGAGTATGTCGGTAAGTTGCTTGCTGCAGTGCGTGTGTGGCGAGTTGTGACTCATTGCTACCATTTGTTCTGCTGACCCGCTCGCTCCAGTGACCTGTTTACACCTGTGACCTGCTCCCTTCCCTTACCCTCATTTGTGCCTTCGCTTCGTGAGCTTGCTCTCATGAGCTCTCTCACTCAGTTCTCATCCCTTGTACCTTGTCCTCGTTCCTCGTTCTTCATTCTTCGTTCTCGTTCCTTAACATATTATGTCTCCTCATTCCTCGCTCTACCTTGGTTGTCCTTTCATGCGCTCCTCTTTCCATCCCCACTCGCCCTTCCTGCACCCCAGCTTGTGGCAAGAATTCCATTCGCTTTACCACCCGCCCAATTTCGGACAACTTAAACGGCAAATATACGTACCAGCTCACCATAAAAAACATGTGCCCTGAGGACATCATTGGCAGGTATGATCCCAGCAATTAGTTTCCGTAATTTATTGTCCGCCCTGGCACTTTTTGGCTCCCCTCTTTGTGACCATTATTGCTTAGCTCATGTTTGTGCATGCACGGAATTGCAGGCTTGTCTTCTGGAATTGCGACATTGGTTCGATTTTTACTTCCGGCAACGTCAATGTTAATAATGGAAAGCCCTTGTTTAGCACATGCTGCAAACCTCGTGGTCGGAATTTCTGCGAGCTGGCGGTTAACACCGCTCCAGGGGGCGTGCAATTGCCTGCCGGCAGGGAGTTCAGACTGATGTACGAACATACGAAACCAGCTTACCTGTGTGTGCAGCAGCTCATGTTCAGGAATGGTATGCGCTACTATCTCAATGTTGACAAGTGGCCGCAGGAGTGCGACACCTATGGGATGTAACTCCGTGTGTGTGGGTTCCATTTCGTTTGGAGGAGTCTTGGACAGGGTAGGCACTGCTGTTTGTGGCGCTTGGTGCATATCCAGGAAAGGATGGGTGTTGCTAGTGGGTTCCTGGTGGCGTTTTGAATAAGCTGAAGATATAATGCAACATCATTTGCATATGGGCCTTTTACCAGTACATCTACATTACCTTCCTAACAGCTGGAAACAAGTGTGCGGTGTGGGTAGATTGCTCGGGGATTCAGCAGCCTGGTAGGGTGCTCAGCAGCCTGGTAGTAGCTGTGTGTGACAGTCTTTAGGCGGCTGCAGCGGCAGTTGCGCCCAGCCGCAACATCGCACGAGAGGCTATTAGGTTATATTGTGGAGAAATACGGCTGCTGCTACATGGCGGTTTCGCGTGCGGTATTGTCACACTCCTCCTTGCTCAGCTAATCTCTTCTAGGGTTGTTAGGCTCAGCCGAAGCAGCAGAATCAAGCCGACGCGAACTAGCGCCAACCGTGCATCGCTGCAGTTGGCGGTTTACAAGAAATCCAAACGCGGCAGTTTTTTAAACGCCCGCGATTCGCCCACCACTTCACAATGGTTCGTTGACCTCAACTGCCGCATGCGAGGTTCTCTCTCGTCTCGGCAGTCGGAGTGTCCTCAAGTTCGGCGGTTAGATGGCCGCTCTAACGGTTAGGCGGTCGCTCGCTTATCCGAGCCTTCCCGCTCTTCTGAAGGCGTTTTACGCTTCGGTTCCCGCGATGGATATTTCGACGCATATGCACCGCAACCTCCGGCGGTCCGTATCCATGCTCTGGGCCTTCCAGCTACACCAAGTCACCTAGCTGGTCCAAGGCATCCGCTAGTTTGAGTTAATTCCTATCCGCGAATCTGCGTTTATTCCTGAACCCTTTTCGCCTCGTTTTCTCTCAAGCCGGTCAGGCGGAATGGCGAGCTCTCGCCGGCCTCTGCTTCTTCCGCTGCTCCTCGCCCTCGCCGTCTCCCTCGCGCCGTCGCTCTCCACCCAAGGATCTGCCTTCGCCCGTTCCATCTCCGCAAGTGACGTCAGCGACGGGGATATCGACCGTTTTGTTAACGCGGGTGCTAGTAACGAGGAGGACTCTATTGCGATGGCGGTGCCGGGAGCGGAGGAGCACGTGCGCAGGTCACTCCAGTCGCAGAAAGTCTGTAAGTCGCTTGCTGCAATGCGTGCGTGGCGAGTTGTGACGCATCGTGACTCATTGTCACTCATTGTGACGCTTTGGCGACCCGCTCACATTAGTGCCTTGCTCGCGCCAGTGACCCCTCGCTCCTCGCTCTACCTTAGTTGTTTCTTCGCATGAGCTCCTCTCTCCAACCCCACTTTCCCTGCCTGCACCTCAGCATGCGGCAAGGACTCGATTCTTTGTACCACCCGCGTAGTGTCAGATCAGGCCAGGGCAACGGCACCAAGGTGTTGCATATCTTATGAGCTCCTCTCTCCAACCACACCCGCCTGCTCTCTCTGCACCCCAGCATGTGACCAGAACTCAATTCTTGTGACCTACCGCATTATCTCGGACCAGGGCAACGGCACCATGGTGATCCAGCTGATTATCAAGAACTTGTGCCCCTATGACGTCATCGGCAGGTATGTAATTCTATTTGAACAACAGTGTCTCGTATTGTCGTTATTTGTTGTGTGTAGACTTGTTCTCGATCCGTCCTTGTAATTATTATTTTATGCACTCACGAGTGCCCATGCACCTAATTGCAGGCTTATATTCTGGAATTGTCAAATGGATACGATTTATGCAGCTGGCAACACCAACTTCCAGACAGGAAAGCTCTTGTTTAAAGCTGTCGCCTACATACCTCCTGCGGGAGGCCTAGGTTTATCACTTGAAAACACGGTTGCAGTGAGCTTTGCTCCAACCTTGGGTGGCGAGGTGGAGTTACTGCACCCTGACAGCACAACCTTTCCTCTGAAAATTGGGCGAAACAGGATTGGCTTCTAAATTTCGCGCCATTCTGCTCCCCAACTCTGATTGGTTGCACGTGTTGGCGAAATCGCCAACACAACCCAACCCTCCCGAAATAATACCCCCCAACCGAACCTTTCACGAAACTAGCGGGATTCGCCAGTTCTGTTTGAAACATTCGCGCGCTCATCTCTGGAAAAGAGTCAGATCGTTCCCCAATCAGCATGCGTCCTAGGGTGTGCACCCGAAATACCCTCCGAAAATACATTTTCGTATGTAGACCGCAGCTTTAAAACCGAAATATAAAATAGTGAACCCCGTCCCAACTTGAAAATCGAAGCGAAACGCAAACGAGCCCGGGCTGTTAAAAACACTGTTTCTAACCTTTTGGGCGTGCAGATCGAACCCACGTGATTGGCTCCCGCCAAAAACGAAAAGAATTGCCTCTCGCGTGAGGGGTCGCCTTCAACGAGGTGCACCTGCACGACGGCTGCATGGCGATCGTTTTGATCGCCGGGCCCAACTTCAACTTCAAGTTGGGCCTGGGTTTCATGACTCCTTTCCATTGTTGTCTCTTATTTCGCCTAGCCTAGAATAGCTCGAAACTAGCGATTTTGCCTAGGCAGGTACCAACTAATTCGTGTGAGCAATCTATGCTGGCCTAGTGGCGAAGTGCTCTTTCGCCTCTCGCGCAATCGTTACGTTTCTGTTACTGTCGGCCCCTCTCGCTCTCCGCTCTCGCGCTTGTCCTGAAACGCCCTCATGTCGCCCACCCCGTATCTTCCCTCCGTTCCCGTCGCCTCCGCGCTCTCCCCTCCCATCCCGTCGCCCTCGTGCCTTCCTTCCCGCTCCCGCGCCTTCGTACTCACCCGTCCCGTCCCTTCTCGTCGCCTTCGTACCCACTCATCCCGCACCTTCCTCTCTCCCTTCGCATCACCCACCTCGTCACCCTCCCTTTCCTCCCAACGCCATCCCGTTTCCTGTCGCCCTCCGTTCAGTTAGGCTTCGCGATCTGCTCTCTCATCCCATCGTGCTCCCGTTTCCCATCGCGTTCTGTTCAGTTAGCCTTCGCGACCAGCTCTCCCATCCCGTCGCCCTCGTTATCTCTCCACGCTGCCCGTCGCGCTCGCTATCTCCCCCCTCTCCCTGTCGCGCTCGCTATCTCCCCCCTCTCCCTGTCGCGCTCGCTATCTCCCCCCTCTCCCTGTCGCGCTCGCTATCTCCCCCCTCTCCCTGTCGCGCTCGCTATCTCCCCCCTCTCCCTGTCGCGCTCGCTGTCTCCCCCCCTCTCTCGTCGCGCTCGCTATCTCCCCCCCTTTCCCCGTCGCCCTCGCTACCTCCACGGTTATTTCCGAGCAGAGAGCAATGTGCTGCTGAGACGACACCCAACCACTACATCCTCCCGACCATACTCGTGCTCGCCCATCCCGTCCCTTCTTGTCGCCTTCCCTTCCACTCATCCCATACCTTCCTCTCTTTCTTCGCGCTCGTCTTCAATTGCCCTCTCGTCGCCCGTTCTCCCTTCGCGTCACCCGCCTCGTCGCCTCTGCGCGCACCTCAAATCGCCCTCCCGACGCACTTTATATCTCCTTTCACATCAACCATCTCCTCTCCCATCCCGTCGCCCTCCCTCGCCCTCGCCGACGCCATGTCCCATCCCTTCTCGTCGCCCTCACAATCTCTCTTCCCTTCCCGTCACTTCACTTTCTTCCGCCCCTTTTGATCGCGCTCACGTTCTCCCCTACCTTCCCGTCTTCCTGGTGTTCTCCTCTCCCCTTCCATCACCCTTCCTTTCTCCCCTGTCCTCCCGTCGCCTTCGCTCCCCACATCCCGTTGTTCCTCCTCTCTCCCCTCCTGTCCCGTCGCCCCCCCTGTCCTCACTCCCTGCTCTTCGCCTTCGCTGTCGACCTGCCCAACCGTCCTCACGCCCTTCCTCCCTCCCTATTGCAAACGCTCTTGTACTATTTTTCCCCCCCCCCTTTTTTTTCCGAGTGATTTTGCCTGTGTGTTCGCTGGGTCTTGCCTGATTTTGCCATGCCAGATTTGACATGTTTGAGCGCTGGATTGTGCATGTGTGCGCGCTGGATTCTGCCTGTGTGTGCGCTGGATTTTGCATATGTGGAATTTGGTGAAGTTACGAGGGCTCCTCCAGTGAATACAACAGTCAGCCTTGCGCCAAATTCGCACACCAAATTGGGTGAAAGTCGCCACCAATCAGATTTGTAAACAAGTTCCCAAATTTTCGCCGTTCACATGGAGACTCGTATGGGAGAAAAGGTAAAAACGCAGTGAACTCAATTTTCCTAACGTTCCAAACAAAGTTGTGTTTTCAAGTGGACCCAACTAGAAGGGGGGGGTCACTATTTTAGCTGCTGGCTTTAACAAGTGCTGCAAAGCTCGTGGTCAAAATTTTTGCGAGCTGGCAATTAAAGCGAGCAGGCAAAATAGTGACCCCGTTTTCTAGTTGGGTCCAGGTTGAAATGAGTGAAGTGGCGGGAAGGAGTGCGGGTGGGTGGCCAGAATTTACGCGCCAAAAGAAAGGAGGCATGTACCCCACGGGAGGGGAGCAAAAAAAAAAATCAGGGTCCAGTTGATCGCATGTGTGGTTGGCGACAGCATTGTGAATGCATTAGCGATCAAACCTTCTCCTCACCCAATCATGTGTAGGATTTGCATCTTCTGATTGGACCGTCAAGGCAGAATGAACACTCCTGCAGCACCAGCAACCCGCGACAGAAACACCCCAATTGAAACATATTCAACAGAAGCCACGTGAGAAATGAGCAGCGCCCATCTCGAACACGCCCTGCCAACCCCCTGACTAAATGTCTGGCACCAAAGCCGCTCGACACTGAGTAGCATAGCTGTAGTAGCACCTCCCGCGGCGATTAGTCGAAGCTAGTATCGATTCTGTTGAGGCACGGCGCAGCGCGCGCTAGCCCGACACCAGAACCGATCGAAATGTTGCATGCGCGGATGTGTGCAAGTGAGTCCGTTTGTGCCTGTTTCTTCCCGTGCACGTGACTGATTTAGTCGCGAAACTGCTTTAATTCAACATCTCCTCGTCGCCCCCGCTTCGCGATTTCCCACGCGCTTCACCTCGTCGCTCCCGCCTCGTCATTTCCCACGCGCTGGACCGCGTCGCCCCCGCCTCGCAATCTGTCCCACGCGCGGAACCTCGTCGCCCCCGCCTCGTCGTTGCCCACGCGCTTCTCCCCATCGACCCCGCCTCTTCATTTTCTCGCGCGCGCAGCCTATACTCGCACATGAAGTCCGCCAATGATTCCCCCGGTAGCACACCCCCAACCACCCGAATCGCCTCTTCCTCCCTCCATCTCTCCTGGGAACCCCCATCTCTCCCCTCGCTTCCTTTCCTCCGTCCCTCACTACCTTGCTCTCTTCCCCCCTTCCAATGTCCCTCTCATGTACTCCTCTCAGGAGAGAGGGGTAAGGACCGAGGGTTTGAGACAAAGGGACAAGGACACAGGGGGAGAGACAGAGGGGGCAGGACAGATTGGGAGAGGCATAAGGGGAAGGACAGAGGGGGAGAGAAAGAAGGGGAAGGACTGAGGGGGAGAGACTGCAGGGGAAGGACAGAGGGGAAGAACGGAGGGGGAGGGGCAGACAGGGAGAGAGAGAGGGGGAGAGCCTGTACACCCCTCACTCCCTCCCCCAGTCCCCCTCACTTCTGGCATCACCGTTTACACCCCTCTTTATTTTGACCTGCCTCCCTTACAACCTATTCTCCTGTCCCTCTCCGGCTTCCCCCCTCCCTCCTCCCTGCTTCCCTCCTCCCTACTCCCTGCTGCCCCCCTCCCTCCTCCCTGCTTCCCTCCTCCCTCCGCCCTGCTTCCCCCCTCCCTCCGCTCTGCTTCCCCCCTCCCTCCTCCTCCCTGCTTCCCCTTCCCCCCTCCCTCCTCCCTGCTTCCGCCCTCCCTCCGCCCTGCTTCCCCCCTCCCTCCCCCCTACTTCCCCCCTCCCTCCGCCCTGCTTCCCCCCTCCCTCCTCCCTGCTTCCGCCCTCCCTATGCCCTGCTTCCCCCCACCATCAGAGAGGTTAGCGCCACACACCAGGTGAGCCTTCACCTTCTTCATATGCCCCTCCTCTCCCTCTATCTCACCCTCTTTCCTGTCCCTCCCATGTACCCCTCCTCTCTCGTGCATGCCCTGCTTCCCCCGATCCCCTGCCCTGCTTCCCCCCATCCCCTCCCCTGATTCCCCCCATCCCCTCCCCTGCTTCCCCCCATCCCCTTCCCTGCTTCCCCCCATCCCCTTCCCTGCTTCCCCCCGTCCCCTACCCTGCATCCCCCCGTCCCCTACCCTGCATCCCCCCATCCTATACCCTGCATCCCCCCATCCTATACCCTGCATCGGAGCAGGCAGGCTGAGGCTGAGAGGCGACGATCCCCGGCTGTACGGCACGGACAGGGAGCTCGACCGCGCACTGCTCTGAAGACGCTTTTTATAAGTCACCAGCGGCCGAGTTCTCCCGCGCGCAGATTTGTGTCGAAATGTTTGTCTTCAGCAGCAAACTGCGACCTGGCTTCTCTTGGTGAGTTGGTTTTGGCATGTTCCTGCTCACCCTCCACTCCGCTCTCCTCTACACACCTCGCCGTGCCACACTGGTGAGCGGGCAGGTGCGGCGCTAGTAGTCAGGGTTCCACTCCACCTGGCCACCTGGCATTGACGTGGGTGGTTTTTGAGGCGCCTCAAAAACGACCTCACTGCACGCGGATTTCATACGGAGAGAATTATTACAGCTTGGAAGTGTGCGTGTAACTTGCAAAAGTTACTGGTGCGCGCGCGGTTACATCAACGAACAGGTTGACGAACATTTCCCCGAGGGCTGACTTTGCACCCTGGGTGTACCCCAATCGCTTAGCTGGCCGAGTGATTTGTCACTCTGGGTAGTTGTTCGTTTTTGCTGTAGATCTCGAGGGCATGTGCTAGCTACTTAGCCTGCTTCTGTCCGAACCTTTTCTTTTGTGGATCTGAGCTACACTAATGAAGGCTGAGCGGGTATGATCCCCGTGAGCCGAAACTGGTTTGTGCTGTAAGGTTCTGCTTTAGTGAAAGGGTTTTACGAGTTCTACTGAGCTTTTTTCCAGGAAGAATTTTCTAAGTTTCGATGCTGTTGCTTTAAGCGTTTTCCAATCTTCAGAATTGCAGCTCTTCCGCTATGAGTGAAGATCCTCAGGTGCGGCGCTAGTAGTCAGGGTTCCACTCCACCTGGCCACCTGGCATTGACGTGGGTGGGCACCTGACCTGAAATGGTACACCTGCCCAACTGCTCCAACACTAGCTGCTTCGTGTCTCCGCTCTTCGCTCTTCCACTCCCCTCCACCCTCCTCCAGGCACGTTTGGCGCGCTATACAGGTGGGCAGGTGTATCACTTCAGCGGCTTCCATCCGGCCAATGACGGGGACAAGCTGCGGATCCAGATGCGTCTAAGTCCTTTCTTGTCTCTCTGTCCCTCTTGCCTCCCTGTCTCCCTGCCTCCCTCCCTCCCTGCCTCTCTGCCTACCTGCCTCCCTGCCCCCCTCACTCACCAGGCACCTTGGCGCACTACACGGATGGGCAGGTGTATCATTACGGCGGCTTCCATCTGGTCAACGGGGGGGACAAGCTCCGGAGCCAGATGCGTCTATGTTATTCCTAGTCTCCCTCTCATCCACTCCCTTCCACTCCCCTCCACTCCCCTCCACCCCCCTCCACTCCCCTCCACTCCCCTCCACTCCCTTCCACTCCCCTCCACTCCCCTCCACTCCCCTCCACTCCCCTCCACTCCCTTCCACTCCCCTCCACTCCCCTCCACTCCCCTCCACTCCCCTCCACTCCCCTCCACTCCCATCCACTCCCCTCCACTCCCCTCCACCCCCCTCCACTCCCATCCACTCCCCTCCACTCCCCTCCACTCCCCTCCACTCCCATCCACTCCCCTCCATCAGACACCTTGGCGCGGTACACAGGTGGGCAGGTGTATCATTACGGCGGCTTCCTTCTGGTCAACGGAAAGGACAAAGCTGAGACATGCGTCTGCCTTCCTTCCATTTTTCCTTCCTGCCTTCGCGTTTCCTGGTCCGCATTTCATCTTCCAGGCACCATGGCGCGCTACACAGGTGGGCAGGTGGGCAGGTGGGCAGTAAGGAGGGGGTTAGCGATTGGGACCAGCCGAGGAGCCAGATTGTGAGGAACCTGATGCAGGAGACAGCATGGAAATCCGTGACTGGAACGTTGCACACATGGCGCAGAAAAGACGGGCGTGTGAGGTACGGGGATTTGGTAAAGGTGGGTTTGGGGGAAGGGATTGATGGGCCGTTAGGTGTGGGAATTAGGAGGCCGGTCATGTGAGTTTGGTGCTTATCCTTCTCGTCTGCC